AAACTTACATGAACATTTAATCTTCTATTCTGTGGATGATGAACTCTGTTCTGTGAGGCAGTTTTCTTGTAAGTGGGTAAAACAGGCTGCTAAAAAACAATGTTGCTGATACAGTTAATGATGAATAGACATTATCATAATGCAAATTTTAAGGGAAGTCAGCATTTGGTGGGGCAGTAACATGTTTGCCCAGTAATTTAAATGGTGTTCTAAAATTGGTTCTTGTCCTGGCACTAACAAGTCTTGTCTATTTTGAGTCCAACCTCTGTAGCCTTCATGGTTTTAAGGACTATGAGGATAGCACTTAAATTAGAGTTGCAAGTTATTTGTGATACAGAAAATGAAAAAATATACAGAAATAAAGTAGAAAATGGGAAATCATGAAAAACAGGATTTTTGCTACTAAAAAATGAAATCCAAATAAATAAATAAAAAAAAGAAAAATATGGGGAGCAAAAGAAAGAAAAAAGTTGTGATAATCAGAGCCTTTTTTATTTCTAAATTTACTGTACTATCAGTGTAAATATAGTTTGTACTTTGTAGTAGTCCTGCCACATCCACTGTCATTACTTCAAAACTTTGTATATTCTGACAGTAAAACATAAAATTCCTCAGCTGGAACTCAATAAAATCGTTATTTTGCTTAAATTTGCAATACACAGTGAAGTCGGTCACTTATGTGTAAGTGCTGCGGCTTATATTTCTGCAACATATCATTCTATAAATATGGGCTATTTTCCACTACTGATCACAGTACTGTGCAAACGTCATAACTTAATTCATCATATTAACCTGGCCAAACCGGTCACAGCAGGGCAAATATCCACATGAAATATTAGCATCTGAATAGAATGGCACACACTTCAAGGGTAGTAAAACTAAAATTTGTTGTTTGTTTTGCAATTAAATTAGATTTTTTAAATGCTGGTTTCATTATCTTTCATGATGAGTAAAAGAAAAACTAGCAAACTTGGTGAGTTCACACTTTCGGCAAAATACAGAGCTGAAGAGCCAGCTTTCTGTATTGATTTTTATTATGATGACGATTAAATTATTTTGCAGTTTTTGTCAACACTACATAGATTGGACTCTGGCGGACATGCTTGTGAATAATCAGAAATTACTGACACACACAAAAATAAAGATGATAAAGATATAAGTAGTGTATATATCTGTATATTTTATTGTTTTGCACACAAGTGTCTGTTTTTCATGTGTTTTTATGATTTTGAAACAAAAATGGAAAATTGAAATTCACTGTCACGGAATTTGATGTTTTAGAACATGGTGCACGTTTAAAGGTTTAGGGGACAATAAAATAATTGTTTATTAAAATCTCTTAATTTAGTTTTTAAGATATAGTCAATATTTTTTTTTTTTTTTTTTTTTTCTGTAATAAAAGAATTGTACATTTTTACTTACAGGTTTTTTTACTTGATTCTGCAAACTCTTTCCTGACAAAAATATGGATCAGCTGAGATTTATGAAATAAGTTCAAATGTTAACAACTGGTTTTTGGCAGTGGCTTGAAAGCAATGAAAGACTAAGATATCTGATAGTTCTTAAGATCAACACCAATTAAAGTAAAGCTCATCTAGAAACTGATCTCTCTACTTGACAGAAAAAAAAGTCAGTCTATTCATTACCACTGCTAAAACAACAAGGAAGTAAAAAAAGCCACTCAATGAATCTGAGTATTCAAACTCTAGCAATTGTGATAAAGAACCACTTTTATGACCTTAAATTACTAGTGCCAAGGTCAACAGGTTTACTCTAACTGGATGGACATGTAATATCTAAACACTGGCTAAATCGTTGATATTGCATGTCCATCCAGTGCTGTTATCGAGATTTTAGTTCCAACCAAGGATGGAAATGTTTATTTCTGTTGGCTTTTTTAGATTTTATTGTGCAACTGGAATTGTCTTTAAATGGGGCTTTTCTGTAATGTCATTTTTAAGCGATGTGGAGTGCTCCAGGAATATTGGCTATAGCAGAGGATTATAAACAAATTCAGACTGCGAATCATCATGGTGCAGGAGTATCATTCAAACTGTCCTGAAAGTCTTTTTCATCAGTTCCAATAAATGTATTTTTACTTTTGGCTTTTTTTTTTTTTTCAGTTTGAAAATAAAGGAGTTTAAATCTTTACAATAAGCATTTGCTTTAAAGATTGACTAATGATTCTTTTCATAGAACAAATTTCTAAATGTCATAGTAATTACTGTCCTTTTTTTGTGCTGAGTTGAAAATTTCACAAAATCTTTCACAATTGCTTTCAATTCAGTATGCCATGAAATGGATAAACAATTGAAGGTGGTTTCTTTTTGCTATGTGTAAGTGGATTATATTTTAGTTTTAGATTTTTTTTTTTTTTTTTTTTTTTTACCATTGTTAATGAAAATATGAGTTAGCTTCTGAATTTTCAGAAAGAATCATGTTCATCTGGACTTGAACTGAACAAAATCAAATGTTAATTCCATCTTCCAGAGATGGCCTATATGGACTTTACCAAGGAAAACATAACCTCTTTTTCAGAGAAAGTTGAGACAATGAAAGAGGATCTTAATCCAAATAATGTTATTGAGTCAAAAGCTTTTCTAGGGATTTTGAATTCTTTAATCATCATTTACTCATTATGTTAATTGTTACTGAGTGATTGTATTTGTTAAATATGGAGAAAGCTCGAGTGTGGTGTTCAGTGCAGAAAAATACTTTCCAAGATACTAAGAAAATGTTTTTTGCACCTTCTTTAATCCTTCAAAACCAATTCTAGTGCATTTAGATGTTTCTTCCTACTGAATAAGGGCTGTAGTGACTCATAAAATGGATAATAAAAGTGAAAAGCTAGATATTTTATAGTTCACATACATTGTTGGTTGCAGAGAGGGACTAACACTTTTTTCATTAAAAAGCTTCATCAGTATCTTTATGACAATTTTTTTCTTTACATTGTAAACTACTTGAGATTGTTTGCTAAAAATATTTTTCTTCTTGCTACTGCCATAATACTTCATTGGCTGACTATAGTTCTAAATTAAGGTTTTATGTTGAGTCTCTAATTTGTTTTAGTGGAGGATTGCTTAGTTTCAGAAAATAGAGTTCATATGATGGATTTGATTAATTCTCCTGTACCAATAGTTGAAGTATTATTTAAAATTATCTGGGATACTGTTATAAATAGTGTATAAATTGACTATAAATAGCAGGGGGAAATCATGTGTTATGGCACAATCTGCATGTTAATATTGAAATGACATGCAAAGCATGGATTTAAGGTAAGAGCAGTTATAATAAAGCTCCAATTTATGGCAAGTGATATTAAAATCAGTTATGGGACATATTCTTGATTGATTTTGATATGTAGTAAAATTGAACTGAAGTGTGTATCATAAAGTCATCTGCTACCCTTGCAAATTGAGACACACTATTGAGAAGTTGAGGTGTCTTCATTGTGCATGGTCTATCTATAATATTAAGTGGTAACAACCCAAATTGTTTATGAACATCAGCTCTACATCATCCATCCTTAAAGGGCCAAGCTGAATGCACTGGTTCTTGTTCTTGTACAGAACTATTATGTATACAACTGGATCTTCTGCTGAATTGTTCAAATGTCAGTTACAAACAGTATTTTTCCTACTGAAACCAAATATTACATTTAATTCAGAGGGGGAATGCATTATGATATGAAATGAAGAACAAAACATTTACATTCTTTGCATGTATTTGGAATTGATCATATTCTTCTATACAATTTTTGGGGTTGTAAAGCTTTAAAGCATGAGTGAAAGGACATGTTGATAAACTCCTAAAATGTGCTTCCTGGAATATGGTAGTTTCAGATCTACCTGAAGTATGACTTCCTACTGATTCCTCACTGTGTGATATCACTGTTATCTTTAGTACATTGGAGGCACCTGCTATTCCCGAAGCTTATAGGTTGAGTTGTTGATATTAGGTGGCTTCATAGTTTGATGATTACATGTGTAGGAGATACTAATGACTGAAAGTGTTGTGTTATGGATTGACTTGTTTTCCTCTTGGATAGATAGTTATCTTTGCTTAGTTTTGTTCAGACTCCACTAAGTGGCAGCACTGTTTACCATGAAAATAATAATGCACTATATTTTGAAAAGGAGGCACTTTCTACCAAGACAATTATTTCTCAGGTGTTACTTTATATATAAACTAGAAAACCTAACTGATTATAGTTTCTAAGTTTTTGATTTAAATTCCTCTGAAATAATAATTATATTCTGGATTAATCCTGTCTTGATTATACATAGTGTTTATTATTTTTGTTCCAAATTCTCAAGAACAAAAAATATAGAGATTAGGTTTTATTACAATTCTAATCATTGCTTAGGTAGTTTAAAAAAAAAAAAAAGCAGTGTCATAGGAAAATTGTCTTTTTGATACTTCATTTTTTTTTGTAGCACAAAGGTCCATGTTTGCTGAAAAGTTGTCCCCTTTACTATATGTTAGGCAATTTTGCTTTATTTCTTTTTAAAATGATTCCCTCTATTTTTTTCTTCTAACAGACTATTATTTATGAATTTATTTTCTTTGCAAGTCCCAATAAATATATCTATTTTTAGGCATTAAACATTAAACATTTGTTTTACTATGGAAATAAAAGCTATTGATTAATGTTGTTTTATTTGCTTCTTTGAGGTCATGAAGTTTTTTCAGATTTTTACTTAAAAATGTTGCATTTGATTTGTGTATCTAACCAATTGATGAAGAAGCAAATAATTGATTTGTTGCTTTTATTTCTTTATTTTTTTTATTAGTATTTTTTTATATTTATTCAGTAATATGGAAATAATAATAAAGGATTGATAGTTGGAATAATTGCACAAAATACATTTTGAATATTGCTTTGTTATATAAAATTTATTCTGCATACTATTATTTCTATAGTAAATCATCCTGATTCTATAAATTAAGATCAAATGGATTTTAAAGCATATTTTATATATTTTTTGTGTTTTTAGGAAGCAGCTAAAATGGTATGACTGATTTACTATCTCTTGTGCAGCTTTTAGCTGCTGACCACAACTAACAACAGTATCAATTAACCTCAAGGCACTGGTCAGTCTTTTGATATGATGATGGATCCAAACAGTCAGACCAGTGCCTTAGGCCAACCACAGATGCTCATTCCACCATTGACTGCATCGAGTACATTTCCATTGTCATCTACAACTTCGTCTACTTCATCTTTACTGCCAACTTCTTTGCCATCAACATTGTCATCAATACCAACATTGTCTTGTTCTCCATCTTCATCAGTGCAAATGCTTCCAGCTGAACACCTACAATCACAACAAGGACTGCATCTTAAAGAACTACTACAACAGGAAGATTTGCAAACTCAAAATGATCAGCAGCAGCAATTTGAAGATTTGCTGCAGCAACATAACTATCAGCAGCCACACCATTCACATCAGTCATTACAACTTGAGCATTTGTTGCAGAATGATGAACAAGAACAATTGTTGCAACATCATCAAGAACATCAACATGTATCAGAGCAACATAAAGCAGAATTGGAAAAACTCTTAGAGCCAGAAGATGCCAAAAACCAAGTAGAGATTGAGACAAGTGATTTGGAGCAAATTTTACAATCGGCTCCTGACCAACAAACCTCTTCTTCACAAGCATCTCAACAACACCAGCCATTGTTGCAACAATTATTGCAACAGCCAGATCAAATACAACCGGGGCTTGAACTGCAACCACAACTCCAGCAATTGCTGCAGCAGCCAAGCCAATCTCCTCTTCCAAAACAAAGTGATCCTGACAAGCATCCACAGGAACAACTGAAACAGCTACTTCTACAGCCAGATACCTCACAACATCAGTATCACCAACAACACCACCATCACCACCACCACCACCACCACCATCCTCATCAGCACCAACATCAGTACCCTCAAAACAAATCTCAACAACCTGTTGTGTCACTCCTCCCACCCTCTTCTGTCTCATCAACATCAACCAATTCAGTAGTAACATTACCCACACCCACTCCTTCTCCAGAGGCTGTTGTGGCATCCATAATGTCTTCAGCTAGCAAGATGATCCTTCAACACCAAGCTGCTGGACTTCTCACTCCAATTTCTGCCCAGCAGTATTTGGAGATGATGCGAACACGTGCAGCAAATTATGCATCGGCACCAAGCAATGTGCACCAGAAGTTGCTAGATGATCTCAGTGAAGAACTTGGTAAACTTGCTAATGAGGGAGTTGAAGAAAGTGTTAGGTATGTACTTGGTTTTGTCTTTTAATTCTTAAAACTAAATGAAATCATCTTTAGTCGACTTTTTTTTTTGATTTTATTGACATGATACTTAAATATTTTGAAACCAGTATAGATCTCTATTCATTAATCCTTTTCTGGGCTTCCAACCTAGAATTTTTTTAAGATTACCTAATGACCAATAAGTTGTAATTTAGTAAAATTTGTTTTGCATAAAGTAGTGTTGAAAATTGTGAAGCTTTGTTTCAGAATAAATTATAAAAAAACTTTTTTAAAAAAAAAACTTCCTACAAAAATTCCCTCATTTCTAATTGTTGTACCCACCAAATTCTCTTAAATTTCAATACCTTTGCAAAAATGTGATTGAATTACTAAAAATATATTGTTTTTTAAGCAATTGCTGCACACCATGTTGACTGTTTTTAAAAATGGCGACTGCATTTTACAATGCATTCATAACTGAATTTTTTTTATTTAAATAAGACTTTCATGAGCTTACCTTTTGTTTTTTTTTTGTTTTTTTTAATGAGGCTTATTATATAAAAGAAATGGTCGAAAAAACCCCAAAAAATAACAATATAAACCCTTTTGCATTGTGCTTAATTTTATTTATTTATAAATTTATATTTTATTTATAGTTCATTTTATGATGTGAATTGGCTATTGATAATCATAGCAATTAAATGAAGTAAAAAAAAATTGCCAACAACATTCAGATTCAAAGGTATATTTGTATTTATACAACATTGCTTAATTTTGGTAGTTAAGCATGAACTAGTCTCACTAATGTTCTGTTACTAAAAAGATCTGACAATATTTAAAAAATAGTTTTTCTCAACAGAAATATGTAAATTATAATAATCTGTCTGTATTTCTGGGATGATGAGTTATAATTATTTGCATCATTTACATGCTAACTATTGTCTTCATTTTTGTTATCTCAATGTTTCAGCTGTTATGCTCTCTGACGTATATTGATTTGGGTAACCTACATGAATTCTGAACTGAATCCTTTATTTAATCTATGGGGATAGATTGTTCATGTGCATTAGGGCAGGTTAATTTTCACCTATTTTAGAAACTCAACACTGCTTTGGTGACAAAACTGGAGTTTGTTATAAAAACTGATACCAAAAATTAGATTCCTAACTTTAAAATTTAACTGAGCATTTAGTTTTAAAGATTGTCTGCAAAAATGTACAGAATTTCTGCAGGATTTTGCTGACAAACTAACTTCAAAATTTCTATTTCAATTATAATTCCAGATAAAATTGATTTTTCTTATTAGATACTATGAATGGAAAATATATTCAAATCAGAATTCCAAGTATGAATCACCACTAGCAAAATATGCCATTTTTTTTTTTTTTTTTTTTTTTTTTTACTGTATTTAATAAACAATAACTAAAAATTGTAAAAGATCACAAAAAAGACTAATCACTTATTAAGTCTTATATTTATTGGGTCATAATTAAATTAACAAATATATAGATAAAAGTGTATTATACATTAATACTACTGGGCACAAATTATAGGAACAAATGTTTTAAATTTGAATTGCTTATTGAACATTGCAGCTAAAACCTACTGCACTATATAAAATTATGTTGTTCAGTGTAGTTTTCCTTCAAAGTAAATGAAGGTCTTATTTGGTGGCACAATGATTTGGTTATGTGTTTGTGCCTTGCTTCCTGTCCATACATATTTTTTGAAGCTTCTGTTGTTAATTTGACAATTTTTTTCCACCCATTGTCAATGTGCAGGTAAATTTTGTTCTATTCCTTCTAGGAGTTCATTGTTTGAAAAACTTTCTGTAAATGCAGATTCACAGATCCCGCTGTGTGAGAGGTCAATCACAGTTGACCAACGTGTGGCTTCAAAACTGATGGCAGTAATTTTCTTCAATCTTTACACTGGTGGTTCACTACTTCAGAAACAAAAACAAATGTTTTTATTAGAAAATTTTACCTATACTTGGTTATATTTTTGATATAATTTGCTTAAAACTTAAAATTATTCTTGTAAATTGACACAACTATAATATAAATAAAATCCCTCTCTTCAATGGGAACCTGCAATTTTAAAATGTGTATGTATTTAATAACAGATCTAGCATACATGACAAATATTAAGGAAAATATCACAATGTTATTTATCAGAAGAAAGATTATCAGAGTTAAGTTTATATTTTTCAATTTAAATTTTGAAAATTGGGACATGAACTAGTTCAAATTAAACAAAGCAAACAAAAAAAACAACCATAGAATTAACATTACCTTCTTGTTAGGAGGACAAGTACAGACCATGTACCTTGTTTGGCAATTTACTGTATTGCACTTTACAGCAAAATCATCAGATAAAATTTAATTTGAAGCAAGAAAAAAAAAACCAGAAAGGAAATACCTAAAAATGGAAATATTTTGTCAGTGATCAAACAAACATATTTGAATTAACGCCAGTCACTTAAATATATAAAATTATGTAGATTAAATAAGCTTTTTTCTTTCTTTTTCAAATAATTAAATTGTTGTATAAAAATAAAAAAAAAAAAAATACTAATTATTTTTACAATTAAAAACATTAGTCAATATTTCATACGATAATAAACAATAACAAGAACATAATTTTAAAATGGCATCAAATAAAGTTTTGGAGACATTATTCATAAAACAAACTATATTATTTTATTTTATCATTAAAATGAAAAAAATTCTCGGTTTTATGGTGCTTTATTGATAATTGAAATTAGTCTATTTTTTTTCTACTGAAAAATAGCAAATCCTGAATTCCATGATAGAGAAAAAAAAGCAATTTTTTATCCCTGTCAATTACATAAACACAGTATATTTAATCTCCATTTTGCCTTTATAAGTGAATTTTTTTTTCATTATTTATAATCCTTATTTAGTTTTATTTGATTGAGAACAGTGAAAATATTTCAATTGACAATTTTTTTATTAAATGACATTTGCATATTTTTCTTTCCCTAATGGTATGGAAATTTTTGATGGTGGTAAATCTTTGACTGATCACTGGAAGAAGATGCTAAAGCTCTAATTTACAACCTTTGAAGTTGTTTGCTTGCCTAATGGTAACATTTTGGGAAAAAATATTTTTTGTCATTATTTATCATGTCATACCCCAAGTATCATAACCATCACAATTACCATGGTTCCAAAATCGACCTGCCTTATGTCTAGGGATATCTCATCTAAGCTTATGTATGGAGGGAAAAAAAGTAGACATCAGTCCCTGTGGAATGAAGTGAAAATACTGGTCATGGAAGAACACTGGAAAATTAGACATCTGAAAGAATCGGCATATGCTAGGCTGTGAAGACATTCTTAGTAAGCGTAACATAGAAATAAATACAATATGAAAGCAGTTGATAAAGGAAGAAAGATCGGTGACAGCAAATCTTCAGCAGCAGTAGCAGCTATAACAAAAGAGAAAAGCTTCAGTGAGTGCATGACAAGCATCAGCAGGCAGATTAGATTTAAAGCTCCAAGTTCTCCACAGACTAGTAGATTAAAGTGTTGGTTTGTGAATTTGGTGGCATATTGTGAGTTCAATCCTTGTTGGGTAATGTACTTGGACTCAGTGGAAACAGGGTGAGCAGTACTAAAAATAAGAACTAGATATTAGACATCTACCCACAAAGATTAAAAAAAGGGTTCAGTTCAGAATTCACTGTAGGTTATCTGGATTGACATACATCTGATGAAGGCTGGAACACACAATGGCTGAAACCTTATTATAGCAACAAAGATGAGAACAATAGACTGCATGTAAATAATAGTTTTGTAACTTGATCTCTGTGCTTTCAGTCAGATCCAATTAGTTTGATCTTGTTATATGTCAGATCATTGGGTTTGGTTAGAGAGCCAGATTGCAGAATATTAACATATTTTTGAACCACTCATACTCCAACCATGTCTTTTAAGTATCATAGGTTAATAGAAGCATAAATAAATTATGCATATGATTTTTTTTCACCAAATTTTAGTTGAATTTTTCATATTTGTGTAATTGTAGTTTTTAATATAATTTATTTTCAGCTTTTCTTAACTTTTGTTTATTTTTTCCTTAAATAGCAAAGAAGTATTTTCCAAATATGAACACCGTGAAATTCTTCCTGGATGCCTACCCCACCCTGGAGATATTGTGGAAGCAGGCTCCTTATCTGTGAGAATTCTTTCTAGAAATTAAATTTCTTCCATTTTTTTTAAATATATAAATTATATTTCTTATAAGAAGCTAATTTTAAAAATATTTAGGCATTTGGATAAAAATAAAAGTTAATATATTGGTTTAATGTAAAATTGTTTTATATCTTTAAAATTAACATTTAGCTATAATGTATTATGCATAACCTTTTATCAGAAGTTACTTTTTAAAGAGGAAAATTTGTTGCATATATTTTTTGTTGTAGTCTTTGTTTCTTCCTGATCCTTGGTATCCATTGACAAGTGTCCTGACACCTGACAAATTGCACAAGGGTCAGCTTAGCAGTCTCCAATTAGAAGGAATTCTTTATGCTGTGAGTATTTTTCAATTTCTCTCTCTCGATAAGGTTTAAATAAATTAATTACTATTTTAACTGCAAGCAATAATTTATAATTTCAGTTTTTTAAATTAATCTTTTGTAATATGAAATTTTTACATGTTTTTATTTATTATTTTACATTCTAACTCCTAAACCAAACCATTCACATTGTCAATCTACAATGCCTGTATGCTGACATACCTGCTGTACTAATGTGAGACACTTAGACACTCTGGGGGAGATTCCACCAGACAAGCTGACACATTGACTGCCAACTACAAGATAACTTGTGGTTTTATTATGACACCCACAATGAGTTATCTTGTGCCAACAATGAGTTTACCTGCAGTGATATTTTTAGTGTAAAACCAATGTTAAAGACTTCAGTTGAAGCTATAAATCAGCTCATAAAAAATTTTTTATTGCTTAAGTTGACTATTATAAAGTTGACATTTGAAGTCAGATTTTGTAATTGACTTCTGGCAGGCAATATGTTAAGAGTGGTTCTTGGTATCCACTTGATATCTCTCATGCCAGATATGGAGGTCCTCGAAAAGGTCAATAAAATCAGCATTGAAGTGCACATTATCACCACAGGCTTTGCTGGGTAGTCATTTGGCTTGATGACACCAGAATGCCCAAACAAATACTCTACAGCACTCAATCTCAGTTTCAAAGAATTGCTTCAAGGACTGTTTAGAAGTGTCTCTTGCAGCCTGCCAGATCTTTAGTGGGGAAATGACTGCTTGTGACTGATATCAGTGGGGATGTACAACTCATGAAGGCACTAAGATCTTCACAGAACATGCAATGAGGTGAGCGAAAGTCAACTGTGCAGCTAGAAAAGGGGAAATCCTTAATCCAGTAATTCATTAATTTACATGTGATGAATGTGACATATTCCTCTCTGATGCAGGCCTTGTTAACCACAACAAGAGTCATATTGGTTGTCCTTTCACAAATTATGATCAGTACTCTGCTGGAAATAACATGCAAGGTGTCTGAAAACCTGCAGAAACCACTCCAATTACACCTGTCAGATGAAACCTATCAGGCAAGGTAGGTCCTGTACAAAACAACTTAGTTTGCCACATCTGCAATAAGCATTGCAAGTAACTTGCAGGCTTCAATAGCCACTGTTATCACAAGAATCAAAAACATTCATAAAATTTGTCAGCGATGGTCATGCTCATTTAATGAGTTGATGACCATCATGTATGTACAAGTGTTTGTTAAAAAAGTTCTAAGCTTCACTCAGGAGACGTTGGAGAAACGACAGTTTTTCATTATTTTTTTTACATCAATGTATTTGGTCCAACAATGCTTAAGTATTGCAATCTCATCACAGAAGAAGGTGACATCCTGGTTCTCCAAAAACTTCTCCACAGCACATATGATCTCATCATTGTTTCCAAAATGGCAACCATGCAGGTGGGATTTGAGTTTAGGAAACAGGAAGAAGTCAGATGGAGCTAAGTCTAGTAAGGGGGGTTGGGTAGCTTTTCAAGGCCCCAGTTAGCTGCTTCAGCTACTACAACCTGAACAATGTAATCAGATACATTATGCTGTGGCCTAATCCTTGACACTGGAAGCAACACATTGTTGCGCATGACATGTGTGGCTGACTGGCATCTTTTTGTCGATCTGGACAGTCCCTAGAAATGTGATTCTATCCAGAGCATCAATAGCATTGCATACCCTCTCGACATTTAGAAGTTTATCAGCTCCACCTAGTGAAATGCTAGCTGCAACCATTTCCTCAGTTACAGATGAATCTTTCATTATGACCTGAGCTCAGTCCAAGAGTTGGTTTGTAGTTGTGTCTTCCACCCTGGAAGTCATGCACAATAGTTGCTTGATGTGCGCTGGTAAGCCTCCTATGAACGCACATACTAATCCTTGCTCAGATATCCCGCCAAATAGATCTGTTAGCTTCAAATTAGCTAGAAACACATTGACAGACTCGTCCAGGCACAGTTGGTGTTCCACAAACTTCTTGTAAGCTAAGAAACGATCCAGCTCAAAGGCAATCTGCAGGGCTCTGTTCGACATCTGCTTTTTGCTCTGAACTTAACTGCTGGTAAACAGCAAATGCTCCACCCGTCAACCTCAAGAGAAGAACACGTTCAACCTTGTTAATTCCACACAGGTCACAAACAAGTTCTGCCTTCTTAATCCATTCAGTAACTGCTTGTCCAGTCATTGAACCATCAAACTTGGGTATCAACTTGACATCAAATGTCCTGTCCGTCATGGTGCTGAATTAGATTGTAAGAGTTCTTGGGTAGCAAAGGAAAATATTTGTTGCAGATTACTTCTACAACGAAGAAAACAAATCACTGCAAGTTCAGACTTTAAGATCAGTGGCAGAAAGAAGTGTCAAAATCTTGATTTGCAGGTACTATGTCACAAATCACAATGCACGTAACCAGTCAGAAATATAATTTAGCGGTTGCTAAATACATGAATTTTGTCTTTTTTTTTCTCTCTGATTTGAGAACACCAACTGCTTTTATTGACTGAGTATTTTTTTTTTTTTTTCATTTGTCGACAACTGAGAGTGGGTGCACAATATTAGCATATCAAAATACTTTTATGGCGACTCCTGCGACTGACTTGTTTCTAATTTGAATATTCCATTTTCAGCATATCATGGAGAATATGTGCCCTTTTTTTTCAGCAAGTAACTTTCTTTTTGCCACGGTTTCTATTGTAAGATACACGTGACACACTGTTGCTTGGTTTGATGAGGTAATTTGCCTTTTTTTTTTTTTTTTTTGCATACTTGTCCAGTATTTTCACTTCATTTCACAGGGGCCGATGACTAATCTTTTTGCGCCATACATGAACAACCATGTCTGATTTCATTGTCTCTCCGCCTATGGCTTTTTAATGGTTCTCCAATATTACCTTTATATTCTTTGTCTCAACTTCAAGAAATGGTACATACAGTTTTCCCTGATGTTTGGTTTAATTTGGCAAAGTTTTCTCCATAGAGTGGAGCTGCTTCTAAGTATTGTCCTGATGTTGAATGGACTACTGATCTGAATCCTTTCTGATGTCTTGATGTAAAGCAGATAAACCAGGATAGTTGTTATTCTGAAGTGTATGCTTAATCCTGATCATTTACTGTTGGTATGTTGCCAGTTAGGATTTTTGCATGGTTTCCTTCACACTGTATGGATGGTGGAAATTGAAGTGAAGGTATTGGAAGTGGAGGTATATATGAATGTCTTGAACACATTTTCTTTGTGAGTTATTAGTACATCCAGGAAGGCTAGCTGATTATTATTTTCTTTCATTGTGAACAGGATTGAACTTGATCCAGCAGTATTTGTACAACTTCCTGTTGAGGCCAGAGTATGAAGGTGTTCTCTACATATTTGTTGTGCTGTTTCTAAAGACATTTCCTTGAAGTATTGGTTAATTTGCAGTATAAACACCAAAAGCTCACAGTAATGAAAATGTTCCATTATGCTGTGAAATTTTGGAAATGGCATTAAAAGTTTGCACTCTATTATCGTTTAGGAGTAATGTAAGTTCAACTTCTTTTGCGTTGCATCAACAGAATGGCCACCATTACTTCGTTTACATCCATTTGCCTTGAGTAGTTATGCGCGAAAATTTCACTTATCTTGATTGCTGTGCAATGCATGAAGTTTAAAATGAATGTGCTTCCAAATATAGCAGTAAAAATCAAAAATAAAATCCAAATTATGTGCCTGAAAGTTTTCCTTTTTTTTTTCTTCTTTTTTTTACGATGTTTTTCTTCTTTTTTTTTTACGATGTTTTTTTCTTCTTTTTTTACGATGTTTTTCTTCTTTTTTTACGATGTTTTTCTTCTTTTTTTTACGATGTTTTTTCTTTCTTTTTTTTTTATGTTTTTTTTCTTCTTTTTTTTACGATGTTTTTTTTTCTTTTTTTTACGATGTTTTTTTTCTTCTTTTTTTTACGATGTTTTTTTTCTTCTTTTTTTTACGATGTTTTTTTTCTTCTTTTTTTATGTTTTTTTTTTTTTTTTTTTCGATGTTTTTTCTTTTTTTTTTTATGTTTTTTTTCTTCTTTTTTTACGATTTTTTTTTTCTTTTTTTTACGATGTTTTTTTCTTTTTTTTACGATGTTTTTTTCTTTTTTTTACGATGTTTTTTTTTCTTCTTTTTTTTTTTTTACGATTTTTTTTTTTTCTTTTTTTAAATTGTGTTGTGAAAATTTCCTTAAAAATCCAACAATTAAAATAAAATAGAAATTACATGTCTGAAAGGTAAAAAAAATGTTTTCCTTTTCTCAATGTCTTTATTTTTATATATTATTTTTTTTGAAAATGACATTTATTTAGAAAAGCTTTCAGTTGTTTCTATAACAAATTTGAACCAATTTAATAAAAAAGAATTCATTATTTAATAAAGCTTCACTTCTACAAAGAAAATACTTCTAATTAGAAAAAGGAATTTATTCCAATTAAAAAAAAAAAAAAACTATTCATTTAAAAAAAGCACATTTTAAAATAATTTGTGAAAATTGTGCAGTAATCAAGATGAGTAAGAAGATATGAAAAGCAGTAAAAATGCCATTAACTAACTAAGTAAGTTTCCGCGCATTACTACTCGAGGCAAACGTATATAAATGCCAATAATGGCGGTTGGACAACGCAATAGAGATCTAAATTACATTGTCGATAAATCCTATATGGCAATTGAGTGCACACTTTTATTGTGATTTTTTTTTTTTTTTTTTTTAAATAATAAGGCAGTTTCACACCATAATGGAACATTTTCATTACCATGGGCTTTTGGTACTTATACTGCAAATTAACCATTATTTGTTTGCCCTCACTGGTAACAATGGTGAACTCATAGCCAAGCCTTCCCATTGGTATATGTCAGACTTTAGTTGAATGGTGTCTGTACACAGTGTGTCAGCATTTCCATTAGATTATCTCTTCGAAAGTTCATACATTCTCCATGGGTGGGGTCTGATTCCAGTATTTTGATTTCCTAATATATGACAAGGACTTCTCTGCTAGTAGGTAGGAATCTGCCTAGTGGAACTTTGTGAATCATGGGGAACCCATACATATGTGGCAGCTTGGTGTAACATTGCATCAACTTTCTATACTTATTCAGTGTGAAGTAGTCCTTGTTCGTATTTAGGATCTGTGATAATTTCCACTCAGTTTTTAGGGTCAGATACTTTTTCACCTTGCTATAGCTATCATCCCCAACTAGGCTTGCCAATTTTTCAGAGTATTCCAACTTGTCAATTGACACCATAGTGTTGCCTTGTCAACTGGCAGTATGATGATACTAGTATCACTCTGTTGTCTTGCCAACCTTTCTCCCCTTGTGAAATTTGATTTAGTCGTCTTGGATTTTTCTAATGTTTGTCTCACTTTCCATCTTAGATCATATGCTTGATTGGGTTCTTCCAGGCAACCTCCTTCACAGAATCTATCATACCGAAGTATTGGACCCATCTGATGGTGGTGGTGAAGCTGAGACACTTGTTTAGCACTGATTCCTCAGAGAAGCTCAACTGATGATTGTTGATACTGACAGCTTCTCTTACTGAACAGTGGTTGGCCTTGTTGCTCTGTTTGTTCTTTCATCTATGCTAGTTTTCGTATTTTGCACATCTTCACCCCTTGAAATTTATGATTGTATGACTTATCTAGGCCTTGTTGGATTCTGTATTTGTCTGATTAGTGATGTAAGGCTGAGGAACATTGAAAAGCCATCGTAGGGGGAGAAACAATGAAATCAAGCATGGCTGATCATGTATGGGGTGAAAAAGTTAATCAACCCCTGTGGAATGAAGTGAAAATACTGGACAAGGAAGAACACTGGAGAATTAGACATTTGAAAGAATTAGCACATACACTAGGCTATGTAAGTCTCTTTAGTAGACCGAGCATAGAAATAAATATTATATGGCAGCTGCTAATAAAGAAAAAAGACAAATTACAACAGGTCTTCAACAGCACTCATCAATAGGCTAGTGGATTAAAGTGTTGAATTTGGTAACATAGTAATTATGTTGTTCAATCCTTGGACTGGGCTGTGTACTTAGACTTAGTGGAAATGAGGCAAGCAGTAACTGAGCAGTACTGAAATAAGAACTAGGCAAGATATCCCTAGACATGGGTAGTGGAATGAGTATAATCTACTGCAGATTAAATCAATTTTGGTTTGAAATTCCCTGTGGGTTACCTGAATGAACATACACCTGGTGAAAGTTAGAGGTCACAGCAAGATTGTGATAACAAGAAAAATGAGGACAATGGTCTACATGTAAATAGTGTAAATGATATTTACACTAATGACATTGTTTATATTTATTTTTTTTTTTTTTAGTTTATGATTTGCAAATGAATTTGGGGAAATAAGTATAATGCAGCATTTGCTAACCTGGGTCAGATGGGTGATGTCTATGAAAGTATTACTGGGAGCCTGTGAATTTGCAGGGTAGGCAAAAATTGTTTTTCAGTCCTTATACAAAGATATCCTACTCTCTAAAACCTGTAGATTAAATTTTATGTTGTAAATTTTGAGAAATTTATTCAGTCTTTGTTTCATACTATAAAATTATCACTAAAGAATAATATTGTTAATATTACTTTTATAGTGGTAAAGTGTCACAAAATAAATTGTTGCAAGTGAAAAAGTTTGAAAAGCCATAGTTTAATGTTTAAAGCTTTTAAGCTGTCATGTGTCATACTAAATAATTATTGTTATTACAGCTCATGGTATTTTTGTTAAATAAAAGTAAATAAACTATTGATCATGTAAGATAGAACACATATTCAAAATACTGGAATCAACCATTAAAAGGTGTTTGGCAAATTTTCTTCTGTTTAAATTAAATGTAAGACAGCAGGTTAAAAAAATGGGTCTGATAAATTGTTAAATCCCCAAGTAGCTGCTTTATTTTGAAAAATTTTATGGATAATGGAAAATAATCTTTATTTCCAGACAATGGGTAATTCTAGTGCATGTACACATACAGATTTTTTTCAATTGTAGTTAGATCAGATTGTAATTAGAGGCTTAAATTCTTCTGCTGAATATGGTATTCTGAATATTCTAAATTGTGTTAAAAATATTGTACTGAGCCTGAATAACAGATAAGCTGGAATTGCTACTGAGTGACATGAAAGAGAGGAAAGATGAGTAAAAGTAAATTCAGTCTAAATATTTCATTAATTAAAAGGAAATGGACACTGAAGAATGATTTTGTGTGTATATATAGGGGAAAAGTTAATTTTGCTTACATTACATAAACTCTCAGGTTAGAGGGTTTGTTAGACAGAACAAAACATTTAAGTGAAATTTCTTGACATATAGGAAATGATACAGAGAATACATAAAAACAAACCACAAAACAAAATGGCTCTCCTATACTAACTTTAGTTGTTAAAACTGAAGTCTTGTTGGAAATTGTTTGTAGAACATTAATTAAAAATGAAATTGATTTTTCAATCTTTTTCTTCATGTTATAGAATCTTAAAATGTTTTTACCATATTAGAAATAAAGTGTTACAATAAATGGAGCCAAAGAAATCAGACCTTTTTGGATTTTACAAATATATTTTTATATTATTATTTTTATTTATTTTTCTCTTCAATAAATTTTGATTTTCTCAAGATATAATATTTAACAAAATTTAAAATATCTGTTTATAAATTCAGTGATATTTTCTACAGATATAGCTTCATTTAAGTGGAGCCTTGTCCATGTATAGTTATTTGTAAAGATAAATTTTAAAAATTTAACTTTTTTGTATGCGTGTAAAACACATGAATAAATTTGTTAAATCTACTAAAAAAGTAATACCAGTCTTGCGTCTTTTATTTGGAAGTATATAAATTGCTGTTAAAATTTAATTCTTGGGGCCACTTTGAGTGGGTTCAGTATTTACATTCGAGAAGGAAAGTTTTAATTTCAGTTTAAAATATTTATTACAAGAGGCAATGTTGTATATATAAAATTCATGGTAACCAAGTAATGTGAAAAGCTGATATTTATTCCCTCAGTGCCAAAAGCACCAAACAGTGTTGCCCAATGGTCATCGAGCAGGATTTTTCATTGGAGATGGTGCTGGTGTAGGAAAAGGACGACAGGTAAGTTGGGATGTTAACTTTGAATTTTAATTAGATTTTTTTATTTTTTTTTTTTTTTTTATCTAGCGATTATGAAAGCATTTACTGTATAGTGGGATGGTTCCTTACTTGTGCCATAGTTGATACTTATAATATTCCTGTTTATTATAAGTTATTATAAAGTGAATACCATGATGCTAAAAGCGTATTTTGTTCATATTTAAAATAGCCTTCATGATAAACATAACTTTAGGGTAAATATAACCAAATTATAAAATATTTTAAGCAAACCTCAGCATAAACAGTTATTAAAATATTATTGAAGGTGCTGTTCCATTGAGTTGGATTTTATTTAAATGTTTTACATTCTTTTTTCGATTAAGACCAATTTTATTTTTGGTGTTGCTTTATTGTAATTCATTTTGTTTCCTTGCAGATGGACTTCTGGAAAAAATATTTTTTCTTTTTTATAAAAGTATTTTTTTTTTTCTTATTAACATGTAATTTTTGAGAACATAAGCATTTATGTAGATAATCTAAACGAAATGAGCAAATTAACAGGTGAGATTTATTGCCTCAATTGCAGTGCAGACCTTATCCTGCTTATTGTTTAATTTCTCATATGTATACACATGGAAACATTTTGTAGTGAAGCAAAAATATCCTCTAAGAAATATGATTTTTGTGTCTATGTAATTAATGTTTATAAGTAGCTTTTTCTTATCAGGTATCAGGTATCATATTGGATAATTTCTCCCGAGGACGAGTGCGTCATATTTGGTTTAGTATCTCTACAGATTTGGTGGTAGATGCAAGAAGGTTAGTATTTTTATTTTATTTTTTGGGCTTAGAATAAAACTTCATTTTTCATAAAATTTGGTTTATTTTTTTTTTTCTTTAATGGTTTTCTACTGATTTCTTTTATCATTTAATTTATCTGAGTTTAACATGTTTTCCTTTGTGAAAAAATGCAGCAGTGTTTGTAGCTAGGAAAAAAAACAATTTTAAATTATTATTTCTAGAAAATTTTCTCAGCCATATTGTTAAATGTCTCATTTAAAATCTGATTAATGTTTGGATTAAATCCATTTTATTGAATTTTGTTGGGTTTAAAGGTTTTTTTTTTGGTTTTTTTTGTTTATGGAAGATAATATAAATTTAAATTGGTCACTTGCCTATGATAAATTTATGAAAATAAAATGTTATTGTAATTTAAGTTCAAAAGACTGACAAAATCAGAACACTTGTTGGAACTTTTTGACACTTTAAATATATTAAATTAAAGTTGAATAGAATAAATAAAGGAAATTTGTTAACTATAATTATAATCCATTTGATATAATAAAAATAGCATCAAGTAATTAGTATCCTTTTCTTTTTACTTAGGGATTTAAGAGATATTGGCTGTTATATTCGTGTGATTGATGGCTGTAATGAACTCGACAAACAAACCAGGTTTGTTTTTACTACTTTTATTTGAGATATTATAATATGATGGTCAGTCAAAAAAAAATAATGTATGTTCTTCATTGATAACATATTTAATTGAAGAAGTGCGTAAAGCATGTCAGAATGAACTTAAAAATCTCAGGATTTCAAAATTAGTTCTCTTACCTCATAGAAACTTCTTGGCTGCTTGCATAGCAATGTGCATTTTGCTTCCTCAGCTGCAATCTGTGTTGAGCAGAAGCTATTGGGCATTGAGTCAGCATTCTGGGAACCCACTCTGTATTACAGAATTTTGTAATATTCTTTTGTCAGCTGTAATGAGAGAATCACCCTGTTTGGCCTTATCTTCAAGTAGCAGCTTGCCTTGTCACTGAGGTCAGTGGCACCTTTCTCTTTAGGATTGCCATTCACTCTATTGACTCACCTTATTACTCTGCATAAAACAAGTGTAAACTTTCTGTAGACACTCACTTATCTCTTGTGAATGTTTTCAGCACTTTCTTTTTCAGAAACAGAAATTCTATGACAGCTCTTTGCTTTTTAAGTATATTCAGAGGGGGAACTATTTTGAAAGATGGTTATATGTAGGAAAAAATTCTTGTTTTTTTTTTTTGTTTTTTTTGTTTTTTTTTTTTTTACACTTTGACAAAAAATGTCCTTAGAAATTATGATCAATATTTTCAAAATAGAACAGGCATTACTTTTTGACTGACTCTCATATTTAAGTGACACATATCCACCTGTTCCTTTTAAATGGATTTCTTTTAGATTTAACATTTCTTGTTACTAAAAGCGTTATTTTTATTGGGTGCATGTGATTTAGTTGACATCCCCATTATTTTTAGACAATGAATTTAATGTCCGCTGACCTAGATATTGAGAAGTCTTTACTACTGAAAAATATTCCTCCCAACAGGAATTGAACCAGTATTCCAGATTTCCATCAGGGAAACCACTCTTTTCACTACCAATTAGGCTACAGGAAACTGTGAAAATAACAAGAATGTCAATTCAAACGTGTACTGAAAAATAATGTTTATGATAATAAGAAAAGTGTGTGTGCATGTGCACGCATATATATATATACGTTACGTCATCTCTGCTATATTCATGTGAGACATGGGTAGTCTATCACAGACATCTGTAGATATTGGAATGTTTTCATCAATGATGCCTTCGATCGGTGCTTGAAATCCACTGGATGTCTCACACTGTTGATACTGTTCTTCTACAAAGGGTTAATTCACTCTGGAAGCAATTATACACAAATACAGATTGCGATGGACAGGTCATGTTATTCGGATGTCAGATGACAGAATTCCAAAACAATTAATGTATGGAAAATTGGAAATGGGGAAAAAGACTGCAGCACAAGCCAAATCTTTGTTACAAAGATTGTCTTAAAGAATCTCTATACAAGTACAATATTGGTCTGGATAACTGGGAGACGCTAGCTGAAGACCGGGTTTCTCGGAGAGCTGGTATTGCTGATGATGTCAAGATCTTCCATGAGGCATCACAAAAATATGCAGAACTGAAGAGAAGGGTTCAGAAGGGGTCCCTGAATTGCCATGAGGTACCAACGCAATTAGATATATTTGTCCAGAGCAGGTCTGTTCATTCACCAGAAACTACACCAACACCCAACAGTCTATTGCATATGATGATTTTGTAATGGCATGCTTTGAATGCCCAACCTGCACTTGGGTGTCGGGCTTGACAAGGCATATAAAAAAGCACATTGGAAGTGATGATGTTCAAAGTCAACCTTCAGCATCTGGAGATGATTTGATATGCCACATATGTAACAAGAAATGCAGATTGATGACTAGCTTTATGAGCCACTGCCATTCACACAAGCAATGAATAACTGATGGGGACTGGACATGTCAGTGATGGTCATACTCGCTAAGTGAGTCAACAGTCACTATATATATATATATATATATATATATATATATATATATATATATATATATATATATATATATATATATATAATTACTGGTATAATATTGTAAAATTTGAATTTAGAATTTAAATTCCTTACCATAATCCAAGTTCATACACAAGTTCCAGCCATACTTTATATGTGTCTATGCAAATGTTTACGTTAATTTTAACTAGTTGCAATTTTTTAACCCATTTCATTTATTCTTGCAGAGTTTTTGGTCTCTCTCCAGATCTCAAAGAAGGTGTAGTGTTTAGTACTTATGCTACTCTTGTTTCATCTGTCCAAAGAGGATGTGAGTATTTTCTGTCGTAACCACTTTTATTACCCTACTAAAGGTACTATTTTGGTATGACAATAAAAGTGTGTTTTACAGCTTTTAAACTGAATCTGATTATTTTATTAAAATAAAAACCATCACTTTATAGTGATAGTTTTTTTATTATTACAGATTACGTATTTGTATAAAATTGGTGCTTATGATTATTTTAAAATAACTGCTGCTCAAAAACCAAAATGGTTCATTTAGAATGAAAATCCAAATATCCTGGTTCAATCCTAGGTGTCATTATTGATATCATCATTTGCACAAATCATATTTTGGTAATTTGGTCTATTCATTCAATGTTTATAACTCTTAATATTTATTAAAAAAATAAATCTATCAGCATACAAATTATCATCATCATCAAAAGTGGTTCAATTAGGAGAGACTGATGCTGAAGATTTAAATGTACTTGATTCAATTGAAAGTTTTTAATCTAGCTTCAAAGATATTTTGTATGTGATGTTTTAATAGATAGCTGTTTTTGAAACTTCTTTTAATGGATGACAATAACTATTGCTTCATCCTGAAATTAATAAAACTCAAAATAATGATCACTGTACTCATCCTCAGAAGTGCAGACGTAGAAATGTGCGTAACTAAATTTAAAATTTAGTAAAGTGATTAATTTCTAAATGGTAGTTATGTGTCTATTATTTTAAGGGAATTATGCCCTTAAATGATCTTGTAATCACTACTGTCATACAGGGCTATTTGTCAGGAATCCATTTGGTAATTTAACATTGAAATAATCCTTTGAACATTATTTTTATAGTCCTAACTTTATTATTAATAAGCTACTAGAAGGTCACAGTAGCCTGAGTTTTTGTTAAAAAAAATGTCATGACTGACACACGTTTTTGCTTTTCCGTAATTGAGGTAATTACAAAGAAACTGCAAAGATTTTCAAAGTTTATGTGGTTATAGTTATTAAAGTCATTTTTAAAGAAAACAAAATTGCATTTTATATAGATCACTACAAATATTTCTAAATAGGTTAGAATATAACCTATAAAAAGTTCTTAATATTCAAATTTGGTTAGTAAAAAAAAAATATATGAACATTTAGAAATTTAAAAAATATTTCTGAATTTTATTTTTATTTTATTTCATTTCATATACACATATGCTGACTTTATACAATAGCATTTTTTTTTTTTTTTTTTTTACATGGAACTTAATTCGGTTGGAAAATGAAAGTATTTAGATAGTAGGTGTATGCAAAACTTCCTAGCAGTACAGTAGAAAATCATTTTTTAATAAAAAATGCTAGAAGATAGAAAATCTCATGGATAGCTATTCTCTTTAGAAATAAGTAAAAATTGATTTGTAAAATATTTATATCTTGTTTAAATTATATATTTTAGTTTAATTTTAGATAATTTAAAACCAATTAAATATATAGTGAACTTACATCACATAAGCTGATGTATTGCCCCATAAGAACCAGAATAAGGTGGTCCTTCCAAGCTTTATATCCTCAGGCCTGCTTGACATTTTTATGAATGTAGGAAAGAATTGACATTTTATTGTGATGCAAAATTATTCAAATTGGTAGCTTGCAATATGATTAGCATGTTTGATGCCTTGTGTGGGTGCTGATAATAAGACAGCTATTGTTGTTGGAAGGGGTTCTGTTGTTTTCTTTTTTCTTTATTAAGAGACTGCGTTAATGGTGCTTTGTGTTCAGTTAACTGTGTTAAGAGACTACCTGGATTAGGATTCTTACTACCCAAAACCTCTTTGCATGGATTACAGAAAAAGCCCATTTTATCACAGTTGATGACTGTTTTTTTTGCGGGGGGCTGTGTGTGCCTCAATTACTTTTTTGAAGTATTCTGAGAATTTTGATTCTGTGTCTGTATCATCCAATACTGATTCCTCTATGATCTTGAGGCTCTCACACTTTATAAAGCTATAAAACCGTCCCTTGTGAACTCTTAAACTTATCATTCCTCAACTCCCTTAGTGTGATGTTCATATAGGCTGAGTGCCTTTTCATGCAGAATGTTTTCATCAAAAGGGACATACTTTTGCACCATTTAATGATATTTCTTTTTTACAAGAACTTTATCAAAAATCTGACACACCATTTTCACTGTTGTAGGCAGATGTAAATTTCAATTTTTCTATGTTTTATCATATTGATGCTAGACTCTTCTCCCATTTCTGTGCTACTTTGGCTATTGACAACTGATTTAACACTTGCAACTTTTGTTGAAGATTTAGCACTTCTCTAGCTTTCTTAAGATTTTCATCAATGCTCTTAGTGCTTTACCAGCTAGCTTTTTTTTTTAATTTATTTTGTTTTTAAGCTATTTCTCATACAAAAAGTTAACTCAAAATCACAACAAAATTAGTGAATGTTGCAAACATATGTAACCAAGAAGTTAGGGACCCTTTAATGTAAGGGAGAATTACTAACTTTCTTGTTTCAAGAAAACAATGATAGCAGAAGTTAGTTTTCTACCTTACATTAGGTGATGCAGTTTCCTGGAACAGGATATGAAGAGTTTTAAAGTGTTTTTGAATTAAAAAAAAAAAAAAAATTTTCTTTTGTATGTTTAAAATCAAACAATTTAAAACTGAGTAAGCAGCAGGCCCACTGTATGTACATTTATGATTGTGAAACAATTTCACATTATTACATTTGTCTTCCATGTTGGGTTAAAACAAAGCTTTCATGTGCATAATCACTCTAAGGAAAAAAAATTACATAGTTATAGCAGCAAAGCATGTTTATTTGTGAGAAATATGTTAATGTTTTTCTTTTCAATAACAATTTAGCATGATCCCAAGGTGCTTAACCTTTACAACCCTGTAGGCGTACATGTCCACCAGTGATACTTTTTCTCAATATTCTCCAGGCGAATAAGTTCTCTGAGTGACTACTTTGTTTCTAAAAATAACCTATTACTATGGGAATGACATCATTAATTTTGTGATATGAACTGGGAATGCCTGGATGTCAGCCATTTTGTCTTAATTGAAATAGTTGTTTTATCAGTGAATTTTAATAGTGTTTTAAAAACATTCATTTTTCAATCACAATGGCGACCCCTGGGACAGGACATGGATCTGTTATGTCAGTAGAGGAACTTTTCATGGACAATAAGAGCGACAAAGTAAAATTTCTTGGATTTACCCACACAGATATTGGCTACCAGAGTTTTCCTATACTCCTGGACCTACAAAGCTAGTGAGGTAGACGTTTTTCGTCTTTTTTTTATTTGACAAGTTATTCAACTAATGGTAGTGGAAACTAACTGGTATGCAAATGATGTGAAAACAAAATTAAGTGACACAGCAAAGCCCAACTCGCAAATCAGAGCTTGGAAAAAAGTTTTCTTTCAAGAAATGAAAGTCTTTTTTAGCTTTGCTTTTGTTGATAGGTTTGACAAAGTGACCTTCGTATTTGTCTTACTTTTATATATGCAAAGCTTTCATAATGTGATGAATAGGAATCATTTTTTATCAATTCTGTTATATTTTCATCTTGTTGACAATTCATGTTTTTTATTTTTTTTTTCCTCAAAGTAAAAAAAAAAAATGTCTACATTTTTTACATCCTTTCATGCAAAAAAAAAAATGTCTACATCCTTTCATGCAAAAAAAAATGTCTACATTTTTTACATCCTTTCATGCAAAAAAAAAAAATGTCTACATTTTCTACATCCTTTCATGCAAATATCCTGAAAATTTTATAGCAACATTTTTAAAACCCTAAAAGTTACAGTGCTAACTTACCACACCCAAAATTAATGTGGATCTTGGGGACACAACTCTGAAATTTTAGTGAGGAGTTGTAAAGATTAAATTCAGTTGGGTTCAGAGCGTATCAAATTTAAGCTCAATCAACCAGTCTGGATACACTGTCTTTATTTAAAAGATACATTCATTAATGCACTCATAAATCTTTAGAAAAGAGAAAATCAATTGCAATCCCCCTCTCCATACAATCAATACTCTCATAGAACTAATGTCTACTCACAAACATACAAATGTATTTTACTTATGTTTTTTTTTTCTTTTACTTCATTTGTGCACAAAAATACATTTTTCTTATGTCTCTAGGTTTGTATAGGATGACAATTTTATATCAATTAGTTGAATATTTTATGAAATGATATTTTATGATGATCATCAATGTTATTTTTTGAAAATATCATCTTGTTCTTTTTCAGCATTAACTGGTACTAGACAGAGTCGCCTGCAACAGCTTATCCACTGGTGTGGAGGAAAAGATTTTGATGGATGTTTGATTTTTGATGAATGCCATAAAGCTAAGAATTTTGTTCCTGTAAGTCAGATTCCTTTCCTCCCTGGCTTAGCCTATTGTGGCAGTAGAATACACTGGTTGTGCTTCTGCAGAGGGGTAAGACCCCTACCAAATGGGGCCACTTGTTTGCTGTGACACCTGAGGATGGGATCTTAATGTCTGAACAGTTGATGATCCTGGGTATTGAGAGATCATCAGCTCTGTTTTGACCCTTACTTGAGCTAGATGGGTTGTCAGAGAGGCCTGATCTGTTCAATTGACTAGTCATGTCTTCATACTTATTATTCACCAAAAAACACTTTATCACACCTCTAATCCAAAGATATACACTCCACTACATAACCTAACAAAAAAAAAAAAAAAAATCATAAATCTCTGTAGGGTAATGGATTGATGTTTGGAGTGAGGAATCAGAACTGTATTCGAATTCCAGTTAAGTTCATTTCATTCACTTTTGTGCTAATACTCTTGGGCAAGGTATGAATCTAGCTCTTCTCCCCTCCTCCCTGCAGCTATGGGTAGGACAGACTGGGTTCTATATCCTTGGGTGGCAATTGGTTTAGGAGAAGGAAAACTCTGAATTCAAAATTGTATGTAGCCCTGGCGAAGCACATACTATGCAGCTAAGGAAAGGATCGGTCACATTGACTTGATCCTGACTATGGTCAACTCCTTTATAAGTAAAACATAAGTATTAGAAAGTGGTGGGAAGGGTCAATCAGTTAGTGAGTTAAAATTTCAACATCACCATTAGACTGATGTTTTACCTAATTGGGGTGGAGAAACAAAAAACCTAGATGTTTACAATAACTCACTAATATGAGTATACCATTTATGTATCCTTGGGATGTTTGGGTAAATGGGTTCCTCTGCAAAACTTCTCCTTTCAAGGAGCTCAAGGGTGGGTGGGGAGCAAAAATGATGAAACCTCTGATCAAACTTCCATGACATCAAAATTAAAAGACCCCATTGTTCTCAGGGAGTGAAACAGTTTAATGAAACTTTTTATGAATTTATTGTACTTGAATCAATAGAAGAAACTCCCATTATTAAATTGTTACCATTTCTAATGGAAAAACAAAATATCTTTCAAAATAACTTCTACATCTGTCGACAAAATTATCAAATTGTACAATATTAGTATGAGTACTAAATAAGGCATATGCCAAAAATGAATAACTTTTGATAAATTAAAAATTAAAGCTTAACCTTGATAAACTTTAAATTCATCCAAAGGAGTAATCAGAAGCCCTGGACTTGCTCCATACCTCCTAGAGGAAATTAAGATAAACCTCAGAAAGCAAAGTTATTGATGTCAAAAGAATAACAATTACAAAAAAAATGGGCAAGATATTAACACTAATACATACATACATTCTCACATATAATACTCTTAAAACTCTATCTGAAATGGATACTCTATTGTAAAGGTAGAAACACTATTCCCTGGACTATTCAGATGCTTCAACTACCAAAGATTTGACCACCACAAAAACATGCTTCAAAACACCAGTGTATGGAAGATATGGAGGGAATGGAATGGGCTATTCTAGATTAATCTGCCAAAAAATTCCAAAATGTCCAAATTGTAAGCAAGAACATACCACTGTTATCTTTTGTTATCTCTCTGCATAATAGTAGTCATAGTACAGTTCTCCCAGTCCTGAATAACAACTGGGTTTGCTAAGCATATTTGCCAGTTGTTTTTTACTTGTCTGTCTAATACTACACCTCCCTGAATTGGAGAGGTTGTATACCCTTGTTTTTTTCTCTTCCATTCTTTCTTTTATTTCCTGCTCTGTTCCACTTTTGTAACTTTCTGTCTCTTCTCGATCTTCCATTTCTATGTCATCCAGTTCGTTTATGCTTCTGAACTGATCTGCATGTGCCAGTATATGTTGTCCCTTTTTCTCAGGTATAGTTGTGTTGTGTCCTTTTTGTATCAGGAAATTTGCTTCTTCTGGATTAGCCTCTATTCTTTCTATACCATATCTTTTCTTTCGTTGCAAAGGACATAGTTATGGTGGCTTTGATTTGTCTTCCCATTAATGCCGAAGGGCTCAGTTTTCTTACCACATGTAGAATGGTTCTGTAACTGAGGAGCATTTTCGGTAGATATGCTTCTATGCTTTCATTAAATGGTGAGAATGCTTTTAATCCCATTTTTACCATTTGTATCATTCTTTCTGTAATGCCATTAGATTGTGGTGACATGGTGTCTTTTATGGGATGCATCCAATCTGTTTTAACCATGCACATAAGTTTTCATTGCAAAATTTGGGTGCATTGTTGGTGACTATTGTCTAGGATACTCCATTCCTTGAGAATATAGTTCTTAGTATTTGCTTTATTGTGTTGGCCTTTCTGTCTTTTACCTCTGGCTATCCTGAATATGAATCCACTAATACTAAGAACAATCCCCTATTTTTGATATGTGCGCATGATCCATGTGGACCCTAACCTATGGCTCTGCTTCCTTGGGCCATGAATGAATTTTTGCTTGCTTGAATTTTTTTATTTCCTCACATTTTGGGCATCTTGTAATGTATTCCTCTACATCTTTTGAATATCCTGGCCACCAGGCTTGCTTTGTTTTTTATTTTGTGTCTATTTAGAGGAAGAACGTCTATTTCTACCTAATGTATTATTTTATCTTCAGTATTTTCCTGTTTTTCTTCTGTTTCATTTTTGAACTGTAATCTTGATAAAACATCTGTGATGGATAGTGTTCCCTTTTACCTATACTATGTCAAAATCGAATACCATGATTTTCATTGATGTGACTTTTGGCAATTCTTTTCTCTGATTAAATATGAATTCTAATGGTTTGTGGTATGATTTTATTAAGAACTTTTTCCTATCAAAATGTTTTGTGCCCTTTCCACGCTCCATACAATCGCTAGTGCTTCTTTTTCAATATTTGAGTAGTTAGTTACTGTTGACATTAACCTTCTTGATATGTACATTATTGGGTGTTCTTGTGATTAGAATAACAGCAATCATGTCTGTGGTTAACGTTACTTTTTTTTTGTAGTTCAAAATCTTTTATTATTGGTTTGTTCCTCAGCATTTTCTTTAGTGTTTCAAAAGTTTTTTTTTTTCTATGTAATTTTGCAAATGGCTCTATTATTGTATTTTGGTATGTATTGCTATAAAAATTTATTAGCCCCAAAAAGGATTCTAATTCTTTTGTATTTGTTGGAGCAGCTATTTCTGTTATTTTTTTTGTTAGTCTATCTTTGGGTGATATGCCTTCTTTTGATATTTGATATCCTAAATATTCTTACAGTCAAAATTACACTTGTCTTAGTTTACAGTTGACATCACAACTCTATCCCTTTAGCAATTTGGATCATGCTGTAGTAGCTATTGATTTTTTTTTTTTTTTTCTTTTTTTTTGAATCATCTATTAGAAACAAGTTTCCTATTTCCAAGACTTCTTTCTGTTACCAGCATATTGATTGGGATTGATTTCACACTTTTTGAGACACCCTTGGAGTAATGTTCTTAACCTTCCTATTGAGAATTGTGTGACAGATTTCTTCTTGGATTAAAGCCAGCATTGATGCTTTTGTACCTTCTTTCAGATGAAACCATAATCTTCCCCTTGGTTTATACTGGTCTGTTCAGCTACTATAGCCCACAGGAATCATTATTTCTGAGTGTACCTGTGTGATGATTCTGATCATGAGAGATGCCTATTTGTGTTTGCTTAAAATAGTTGTAAATATGTCCTCAAAGAGGCTAAATCTTTGCTGATAGAATGAGGCACCGTATAGTTTCTAACAAGTTTGGTCAATGTGAATACTGGTAGTTCTGTAAGTCTCAGTAAGATGGAAATAACCAATATAAAAATAGCCTATACAAATTTAAAAAAAAAAAATTAATGACTATAAAAAGCAAATGGCAAGCAATATTAGACACATTCTCAGGAAACAAACTATACAAACACCAACCAACTGTCAGACAGGAAGACATCAAACTACTAAAAGAGGTGAAGAGAGGACACTGCTAACTAGTCAGTATTGGACATACAAGATTGACTCATGTATACCTGCTAAGAGCTGAGGATGTACCTTGATGCATCCATTGCAATCATAGATTGAAGGTTATACACAATCTAATTGAATGTAAAAGCTATAAGCACATATGTAGTAGATACAACAATGTCACAAATCTAAAAATATTGTTGAAAAATATTGCCCCTGGCTATATTATAAGGTTTCTAAATGAAATTGGAATCTTTAAATTCCTTTAAAAATTGTTTATGTATGGCTATATAAGGACTGCCTTTAACATCTAAAATTGACACATTGAACAATCTATTTAAAATCAATTGTAGCTACCAGGGTTAATTGATTTTTTTTATTTTTCATATTTGAAAAAAAAAAGTTTTTTTTTTGTTTTTTTTTTTTTATTGGATTTTTGTTTTACATTTTTGCACATAATGGAAGCAAAAGAAAAAGCAAAGCTGACACTAATTTGAGAGATTAAGAGGGACAGTAGGATAATTTAGGGGTGCCAAATTAATAATTTTTAGCTGACTTCTTCCCATTTTACTCGATAAAAGTCTACATTTAATTTTTATCATTTTTTTTAAGGCACTGGGTGTATCTACATTCAACTTTGTCTTAGTTTTGTTGTTTTTTCATATATGTTTTATTTTATTCTTAAGCATTTTAAAGTAACAGATTGACATGGTGATCATCAGCTATGTATGATTGATTTGTACATAAGTAATCTTTTTGAGTAATTTGCAAGCAACATTGCCATCAAGGGTTTTTTCTGGATTTTTCAATTTCTGTCTGTGTTGATTTGATAGCTCTGAAATTTAATGAAATCTGTTTTTACCAGTCATTAGTTTCTCATTTTTTTATTTAAATCTATGAGATGCTAAATGCCAGAAATCTGCCCACAAAGAAGAAAGCCACATGGAAAAGTGCCCATCAAAATCAGTTCCCTATCATATATTTTTTTAGTAGAATTTATAAGTTTGTTCTTTTTTATCTTGTGGCACAATTTCCAATCAGGACAACCATGGCTAAATTATGCCAAAAATCCAATATAAAAATTTTTCAAAATTTCCCCAAGAATTATACAATTGAAAAATTGTTCTGATGTGCAAGGAGATGGATATACAACATTTTCCAAGCATTTAAATATTCTTAGATCGACAATTTGTAGCATTATCAAGTACAATAAGATTCATTGTGTTGAGAAAAAATTAAGGACTGGCAGAAGAACATTAATTTTCAAGAGAATGGAAAGGAAAATTGTTAGATTTTCAAATAATCCTCACTTAAAGGACATTGTTAATGATGTAAAGACATCAGGGTTAAATATATTGACAAAGACTGTCACTAGATAATTTCATTGAACAGGACTTTTGAGATTGTTGTCCAAAGAAAAACTCTTGCTTAAGGCTAAAGACCTAAAATGCAGATTAGCTTATATGAGAAACCATCTAGAACATGGGAGTAAATATTAGAACTCTGTTATATGGTCAGATGAAACCAAACTAGAATTATTTGTTTATATAAACTCCTATTATGCATGGAGGAAAGGGAATGAAGCTCACAAACCCCAAAAATACCCTCCCTACAATTATGCATGGTGGTGGGAGCATTCTGCCCTGGAAATGTTTTGCTGCTTCTGGACCAGGAGAATTAGTGAGAGTACAAGGTATTATTGATAAAGAGCAGTGTTTGGCTATTCTTAAAAATAATATAAAACAAAGTGCATAAAAGCTGCCTTTGGGGCATCACTGGATGTTCCAACATGGCAATGACCCGAAACACACAGTACAAATTGTTACAAAATAGATAACAGCAAAATTAAGATATTGACATACCCTGTACAAAGTCCTGACCTAAACTCCATCGAAAATTTATGGGCATATTGGAAGAAAAAAGTAAGAGAAAGAAGTCCTTTAAATTTGGAAGAACTAGAAACTATTGCCAAGGAAGAATGGAACAAAATAGTTATTAGTGTGTGTAGTGATCTTGTAAGGAACTATAAAAAAAAAAATGATTAAAGGCAATTGAGGCAGGAGGGCCAATAAATTGTCCTATGTTATTTGGTGTTTGACATTAAAATAAGCATTTTGTTGTGGGCATCACAGCATATACTTTCAAATCCATTATTTTGTCATTTGTGAAAAAAATGCACATGAAGTTTCCATGAAAAATTCAGGTATTACAGCATTAACTTTGAGAATAATTTTCTCTGATAGTTTCTGCTTTAACTAAGATGTTTGAATAGATTTTGTTTCGTAGTTAATGGAATCACTTACAGATTCTATTGCTTTCAAACTCACCATAAAATCTGTGAATAATAAAATGTACTTACTAAAATTTTGTAAAAGTATATAAAAATGCTAGTTTTGATTCTGGAATATTCAGAATTTAATAAATTGTCAACAGTTTTTGAGATCTTCATTTGTCTGTATAAATTACTAACATGCAGTAAATAGTATAACTGCTTTGATTGATGTGGATCTAAATTTGAGATTGTAAATATTGAGTAATATTATATCATATATATATGTATATGATATCATGAGAGTAGTAAGCTATTAGTGGGATCATATATATGTATATGATATCATGAGAGTAGTAAGCTATTAGTGGGATCATATATATGTATATGATATCATGAGAGTAGTAAGCTATTAGTGGGATCATATATATGTATATGATATCATGAGAGAAGTAAGCTATTAGTGGGATCATATATATGTATATGATATCATGAGAGTAGTAAGCTATTAGTGGGATCAGTTTACTTGGAAACTTTTTCTATTGTTCCTACTTGAAAATTTTAAACAGTTAATCCTAGAAATTCTTAACAGTTAACTTTGGGCTTGAACAGGTTAAGATTTTAATGGTTGAGAAAGCATCCTCTTGGGAGTTAGACCTACAAAGTAGCATTCATTGAGAGAAGATGTTTGAATGGAATTGCTGCTAACTGCAATTCTTTTTCTGACCATTTTCTGTAAACCCTAGAGGTGGTTGTATGTGAAAATCCTATTTGATCAGTACTTTTTGAAATACTCAAACACACCCTTTTGGTATGAATGATCATGCAATGTTCAAAGTCACTTAAATCATTTTTCTTTCTTATACTGATGCATGAAATGAAATTTAGCAGGTTGTCATGACATGTTTAACTGCCTATATCCATTAAATTGCTTCTACATCATTGGCTGAATAGAAACATTTTATAAGCATTTGTTCATAAGTGTTAGTGTGTGTGTATTTAAAACTTAGTAATTTTTATTTTATTTATTTTTTATTTTTGAAGGGGAAGGAACATGCAAGCACAAAAGTAGCCAATGCTGTTATGACCATACAAAGGTTAGTACATAGATATTTACTCTTAGCAATTGTGATTCTCATCCATAAAATATTTTGTTCTGTTTAGTATAAGATTATGCATATAAGTTCTATTTTAATTTTGTTATAAAGTTCAACAAAAACATTTTCCAAAGTCTATTTTCAATATGACAGCTGTAAAATTATCATTGGGAATTATTTAACTTGACAGGAAACAGAGTAGTTCTTTTTAATGTGATATGCTATTCAGATGAGATTGGGTGTGCTGAAAAATTCTTGGGCCCCACCATAAAGCTATTTCCTGTCAAAATTTGGTGTTTAGTCACATTTTGGGTAAGTGGGTTGGCCTAAGAACTTTTCAGAACCCCCCTCATATAATAATCTTTTACTGCCTTTGCATTCATAGTTTGTTTTGATATTTCCACAATATTTGGTTCATAGGCTCATTATTATGTTGTCTTCAAAAGTAATTTTTACAATGTAAAGTATTTTTATATGACCTTTTTTACACTGGCTTGTTGTTAACAAAGATAAACAACTATTAATTTATCTTGTTGATTACCTTCTGCACTTTTGCTACTTTTTTTTATTTTGATTTATTGATAGTTGTATAGTAAATTTGTGTTTTGAATACTCTGTAAAAGAGTGACCATTAATTAAAATTGTTTAATGTACAACAAATAAAACATAGGGACTTGCATGGATTAAATTAATATTTCTCAGTAATTGATCATTTGCTACTTATTACTAAAAAAACACATTTTTTGAGGTTTTTTTTTTTTTTTTTTTTGTAATTTTTGAATGTCTGATTTTCTTTATAGACTTCTTCCTAAGGCAAGAGTTATTTATTGTTCTGCAACAGGTGTATCTGATGTAAAGAATATGGTAAGACTTTTCATGTATTGTTTCATTATCAGTTTTGAATATTTAAGACTATGGAAAAATTCCATTTCTTATATATAGTATAACTGCTTTGATTGATGTGGATTTAAATGAGATTGTAAATATTGAGTAATATTATATCACAGGATTCATGAGAATAGCTTATAATTAGTGGGATCAGTTTAATTGGAAACTTTTTCTATTCATACTTGAAAATATTAAGCAGTTAATCCTAGAAATTCTTAACAGTTAACTTTGGGCTTGAACAAGTTAAGATTTTAATGGTTGAGAAAGCATCGTCTTGGGAGTTAGACCCACAAGTAGCAGTTCATTGGGAGAAGCTGTTTGACTAGAAGACTGTTTAGACTATTGTCTAATTAACCAACTTAAACATTTTGCTTCTATTTCTAATTGCATTCATATTTTGTGTATGCAAACCATTCTTTTTTTAAATCAGGAATGCTGTCAGCAGCAATGTTTTTTTTCTCATAAACTCAGGCTATTTTCCCAGATTTTCACTCAAGCAATGTTCTATAGAGAGATTTAAAACAAATCAAAATTCAATGATATCAACACTAATTCTATTTTTGAAAATTAAAAGGAAATATATTTATAAAAATTATAGTAGGTAGTTGATACATAATAGATTTTTTTTGTACAGTGTAAAATAATAAATCAGCACACACAGGGATGAATTGAAAACTGATAATTTAGCAAATAGTAAAGAGACAACTATTGATATTTGTCATATATGCCATTACAGTTTTTTATGAAATCCTAACCTAAATTATCCTTATATAACTAAACTTCCTTTTTTGCAACTTAAAGTTTAATGGAATTGCTTATTTATTTAGCAAGGAAGAGTTGATCAAAAAACTCTAATATTTTTTTTTTTTTTAATGTGAGGAAGTTTTTATTTATAGTTTGAATTGCTTTTAAAATAGTTCAACTCATGAATAAAATGCAAAAGAATGTCAGTCACTGTACAAAGATTTTAGACTATTTTTGTAAATTTGTCTCTGCTGCTAGAGGATTCCTTGACTTTACATTTGTTAAATAATGATGACTATAGTTTGACACCAGTAACTTTATTGTATGTTTAAACAAAAAGACGTTTTAATTAGATTTTTTTAATAATAAAGTTTTAAGGATTGATAGTGAAATAAATACATTTTGATAAGTGTGAGTTCATAATTGTTATTTGGCATTATTGGCCACACATTTTTAGAAGAGATAGCATGTACTAATGATTTTGGCAATGGTATTTCTCTTTTCAGAGATCCTTGGGTACCATACTTTGAAAGATTTAAAGGGTTAAATGGTAGAATACATTTCACAGTACATTTTGTCTTCAAAGTGGCTAATTTTTGTTTATATTTTAGTGAGACCTTTATATATTACTGCCAAATTTGGGTGATCAAACAGTAACCTTTAGAAAGTCGGTATTTGCTTGTCCTAAATGGATATGATGCTTAAAAAGAAAAAGAATTTTGATGATTTATTGCTAAGAATAGTTTAAAATGGATTTCTGATTATATTTATATATCTATATATAAATGTGAAAGTGGACAATAAAGTCAATAGCCAGCAGTAACAGTCTGTTTCATGCTTAAATGCAATCATCATATTCATATTTACATACACTCTATCCTGATAACTTTAACCCATAAATATAGCGTACAGTAAAGTATATTTTTATCATACACTACAGTTCAAAACTTTGAGGCTACCTCTGGTAATTTTTTAAATTGGCCCCAAAAGTAGTTGTTTTGTACTTTTAAACAAGATAAAATTATTATACATGGTTAAAAAAAAAAATGAGACCTGATTTTTTTTTTCTTAGAAATTTTATTATGACAAAAAGAAAAAGCATTTTATGATTAAATTTTGCTCCTGTCAAAATATCCTCCTTTAGCCTTGATTACTGCAGCACAAAATTTTGGCATTTGTTTCAGAAGTTTCTCAAAGTACAAGTTTGATAATTGATTCCATTCTTTTTTCAATGTCTTAGAGGACTTTTTTTTTTTTTTTTTTTTTTTTTTTTTTACTCTTCTGTCAAGTTCATTCCATGCTAATTCTGGGGATGGCTTCAAACTTTTGAACTGTAGTCTGTGTATATATATATATATATATATATATATATATATATATATATATATATATATATATATGAAAAAAAGACAAGGAAAACTGTAGTTTTAGCTGATGTGTTTCATCCAATGTGAACTTTTTCAAGGCAGAAAGGAATAGGAATTTATTGAAACAAAGTATCTATAAACAACAAACAAAATGTCAATAGCAACTAGAAGAATTTAGAAATGCTATTGTATACATATTCATATTATCAGCTGAAAAATTGTCAATTACTTTGAAGAGAATATTTTCACATGGAGAAATATTGTTTGTATTGTTGTGTTTCAATTTGTTTGTATTGTTGTATTTCAACCATTTCCTTTTGATTTCTTGATATATTGTTTTTTTTATGTTGTCTTGGGAGAGTAGTGTTTCTATCAGGAAAAGTGATATTGGGGAAAAAAGCTGGACATAAATTAATGTTTGGATAATATTCAGTGGTGGCGCTCTTGAGGATTTTCCTTCTGAGTGAATCATTTTCTTTTATTTTTTTATGAGTGTAGCATTTATAAAATTGATGTAATGGAATAACCTGTCATCCCCATGAGTAACTACACTATAGGTAGTAACTACCTATAAGTATCTGTAAGGCAACAGACTATGGAGGATAGCTGGGATCTGTTGAGTATGACTCAGACTTACGCGAGAACTACTGACCTTCCAATAGTAGCACTCACGACTGGATTGACTTGCAATGACCATGTGCATAACTGCTACCTTATTTCTTAATGTACTGGTTTTACAATAAACCTTTACTTAATTTATCCACCATGTTTGTCAAGTATATATTCCTATTAGCACCGAATATGCCAAAAATCACAATAAATTCAGCTCACAATTTTGAGTCTATAAATGTTACACTCATAAAACACATATCCACGTTGGATGAAGTGTGTCAGCTAAAACTACATTTTTCCTATTGTCTTTTTTCCTTTATACATATTATCTTAAATTATCTAACTTATCCCTTCATTTGGAAGTATATTGCTCTTGACTTTTTAAAAAAAAATTTTTTAAGGCGTTTATGGAAAGGCTTGGACTGTGGGGAGATGGAGCTCCATTTCCATCATTTGAGAATTTTTTGGACTGCATGGCACGGAAAGGACTTGGTAAGTTTTGTTGGCATAATGTTTATTACCCTGTTTGTAGATTATATAATTAGTACTAAGTTGAAGTGAAAGATTTTTGGTTGTGTTTGTGAGAGAGAGCAACATAAAAACAAAAATGTTATATCTTAAAGTTTAATATGTATTATCTTTTGAATTACATATTGGTATCCAGTTTTTATTCTTTAACATATTTTTCTTCACTCTTATCAAGATAAAGGGATTTAAATTTATGTTGCTTGTATTGTTTGAAAACAAATCATAAAATTTGAGGATTTTGTTACATGCATTGCTAAATTAAGGTTATACCGATAATTCACATCTGGAATGATAATTATCAACTTTTAGACTGGAAAATTCATATGTAAAACTCACAAAATTATTAAATAGTTTTTTTTTTTTTTTGTAATGAATATTTGTAATGAAGAGCAGTAAAATTATAGTAGGCTGTTTCTGTCTCTTTTAGATAAATTTCAATTTTTTTGCTGATTATGATTTGATAAGTACTTTTGGGTCACTCACTAATGAGAAAAGATAAAAAGAACTTTCTCGTTAATGTTAAATATTATGGACGATTTCCACATTGTCTTGTACCCTTCTCTTTTATTTACCTATTTATGCATTAAATAATTTTTTTAAAGAAAATTTTGTTGGCGCTTTCATGATGTGGAACCTCTATAGATGATTGTACATGAAATCACGTTTACCCTTTACCCTGATTTCCTATCAGCTTGTTTGGAATTTGTACCTTTTTACAGTAACATCTGCGCCTTTGTATGAGTTGATTCCATATGCCATTATCAGGTTTTAGTTGTAATATGTTAGTAGTTTTATGCTAAAGTCCTTTTCTTTTAAATTTATTAGGGGCTGCTGAAATGCTTGCAATGGAGATGAAAACATCAGGAATGTATGTTTCTCGAGGGCTAAGCTTCAAGCAGGCAGAGGTAAGCTCTTTTTTTGCCCAAATGTTGTATTTCTGTTTCTGAGAAATTAGCTAAATCTTTAATATATAATCTAAATCATTTAATCTTTTAGGCTAATTTTATTATTTTACTTTCTGTTATTGACAGTAGTATAAAACCATTTCTACAGAAAATGACAGGTCTGGTACTATCAGTCTGTGCTATACTTAACCTCTGTGTGTGGACTCTGATGTGGCCTCATGAATAATATATCAGAATTCTAATGAGTAAAATTGCTAATGTCAACATGAAATGATACCCTTGTAAAACAAAAAAAAAAAAGAAGAAAAATATAACTTTCCCTCATAAGTAATCATGTTGATCTTGTCTCTTAATCATCATAAAGTAAAGAACAACAAATCTCAGACTAATTCAATACATCCACAGTCTTCAATTTCTAAAGGAGGATTTCACTAATATTTAAAATTGACTGACTGATTATCCTATCATATCAACTCAATTGAATCTTTGTTTACTCCAATGTTTTGTGAAGTTTATCAAAATATCTGTTTTTCTTCACTGTATTTCCTTCAATATTCATATTCTTGGTAAGGTAGTTATTTAGTTTGTCTTCAGTTATACAAATTTTATAATCAGGTTCTGAAATGACTTTCTGATGTTACTCATGAGTAATACCAGCCATTTCTATAAAATGTGTTCACATATAATAACTAAACAGTAATATATAATTACAATGTTGAGCTTCTTATCTCAAACTTCAACCTCTAGTTTATCATTTCAAGTTTCATCCATATTTTTTAATTCATTTTTTTTGTTAGTTTGTTACTGTAGAGGCTGAGTTGACTTGTGACCAAATGAGGACTTATGATACAGCTGCTTATGTATGGTGAGCATTGTTTCTGTTGAGTACTTTTTCTATTTGTCGACTTATTTACAGACTAAACAAGAGTCAGCCATTGATAAAATGTTTTGAAGATCAACAGTTGTTTTGATTCAAGATTCTGGGAATTAATGCTGGAATTTTTAGTGTTTGTGGATATTTTGTGGAAACCAAAGGAAAAATAATTTTATAATTCTCCATTTTTAATCCTTTTGATTTTATATTATTCAAATTTCTTTTATATTCAGTGAAACAAAATGAAATTTATGTACAGTTTAAAAATGACATTTTTAATTTACATTTCTCTTGATAAAATGGATATAGCTCAAGAATATCTTGTAGCAAACCACTCTGAATAAGTTTTTCATAAAAAATCAGATTAATAAACATTAATTCATAGCATTTTTATTGTATCGTCTTATATGTACCTATATTTTAATTAGAAATTTTGAATGAGACTAAAATTTGGGGTACAAATTGCATCATTTCCTGTAAGTTATTTGCTTAATGTTTTTGATTAGTGCATATCTTTTAATGTACACATTAACCAAACTAATCAAGGGGTTCCTGTAGTATGTTCTCTGAATTTTCTAAAGTAATCTGTCTACCTATAGCCAGAACCTAATTTTTAAAAATTATACTTTTTTCTTAGAAAAATTTGCTAACAAATCCTAATTACACAGTAAAGTGAGCAGTAAATCAAATATGGAGTAAAATTTAATTGAACTGAATACAGAATTATGTTTTTTTATTCACTTCTATAACTTGACAAAACGTAAACAGCAGGGTAAATAATAACAATTTTACTGCTACATTCACACTATTTATAATCTATGGTATTGTTACAACTATGGTGGTAATATTGTTTATTGAAGAACTCATTTTGTATTCTCTTAAGTTATTGACTAGAAAGATTCAAGCAACATTATGTATTTAACTTTAGTTAAATTTCCCAAGTTTGATGATTTAATATATTGCTTTTGTAAAATGAAAACTGTTTCACAAACAGCTTCATTATATTTAATGTATCTTTAGTAATTTTTTAAAGTAAAATATGCTAAATGATCTAATTAAGCTATTTAGTTATCAATTTATAAGAAACTGACATCACAAAAGGAAATAGATTTTATTTTTGTTTTATGTATAAAGGTTTCACTGTGCCCCAGACTTTATTTTGTGTCTAAGTTATAATGCTAACTACATATGCTGTAAGTTCTGAAATATTAATTTATTTTGGTGAATTGAAATTGTCAAAGTTTAGCACAACCATATTATTACTGAACTAGCATTCTGTATTCTCTTTTTTTTTTTTTTTTTTTTTTTTTTATATATGTAAATATGTGAAATCTTTAGTATGAGATTCTGAAAAGTTCTTGATTTAAGCCATTTTTTTTTTTTTTTTTTTTTTTTTTATAAGGGTTTCTTGTTCAGGCTGATAACTTATTAACATCCTCTCATAATAGTATCTTCTAATTTTAATATTTTAGGAATGAATTGCGGAAGGCTTTGATCACAGCTCTTCACCGAACCAATTGTGGAAATAACAGAATTTGGACTCAGTACTGGTCTTCACATCAGCGCTTTTTTAAACAACTCTGGTAAGTGGCAATGTTTATGGATCTTTGTTTGTTGTGAGTAATAATATCTAGAAAGAGAAAGTCTCTCTTTTATTGCCATGAAGATAACTTGTCATTTCTTTCTTTTTTTTTGTTAAGGATAGTTTTCCAGTTTCAATCATAACATGATTTTTATTTATTTCTTTGGATTATCATTGTTATTTTTGGGTTGGGGGTGAAGTATCATTTTTGTTCCAATTCAACCAGAGCACTATAAAAACTAGACTAACATTAATGAAAAATTAGTTATAGTTTGTGTGGTTTAAAACCAGTGGTATAATCACGAATAAATGATCTAAATAAAAATTGATATTGAAATATTCATTTTTTTTTTTTTTTTTTTTTTAACTAATTAACTTTTTTCATCACTTAGTTCATTTCAGTTGTAGTACATGTTAACCCCTTTTACATTTCAGTTGTAGTACCTATAACCCCTTTGTTTGACACCAAATATAACCCATTCATATATGTTTGTGTGTGTGTGTGTATATATATATATATATATATATATATATATATATTTTGATGGAGTCACCACATTAAATATAACCCATTAATTGTGCTAGTGCCCCAAATACACCACACCTGTCTGGGTGTCAAATATACCAGAGAGTGGTTACATTTTTGTGAAAGTGGCTTCTTTCTTTCACTGGGATGTGTCATTTGTTTACTTGTTAGGAATTCATGAGCTGTGGATTTTTGTTAGTCTGGGCAAGAATTCAGTTGACAGTTTCCTTAATGTTGGGCGATCCAGCTGAAAAAGGATAAAAATGTACCAATTGGAAGAAAACGACAATGTTGCAAAGTTATTAACAATTAGAGGTGAAATGTAAAATCATGCAACAGCAATGGGACTGCTTCATCTCGCTCATCCTTTTTCTACTGTTGTGGTAACTAATATAGTAATATAAATATGAAGGGTGTGAAATTTTAATTTCACAAAATTTCCTAACTGGTGGGTAATAAATGTAAAAAAAAAAATTACCAAGATTTTTAAATAATTTCATTCATTTGTGAATAAGCCTTGAAAATTTAATTAAAATTCAACCATTATTTGATTTTTTTGCAAGAATTTCCAAAACAATTTGTTTCTTACTGCAAAAAGACAAAAAACAAAATTTCGAACGTGTTAGAAAGGATTAAAAATTTAATAAAATAATAAAAAATACTTCGGTCTTTCCTCTTAATGATAAAGAATTTGACGATAAAGTTTTTTTTTCATCAAGTTTGGAGCCTATTTTTTTTATCAGGGTTTGCTCTTTGTTTGTCAGCAAATTAATTGAGGTACTTACTCTAGAGTGACCAAAAATCTTGCAGACTTAGTTTGGAGAAAGTTGGCATGACATGACTGTCTTGTTATGGAGTTGGGCTGGGAGTGGCAGTTATTCCAAATCTTACTAAATCTTATTTTATTTGGATTTCAAACTTAAGTATTTTATGGGTTTAAATTAATATTTTTAAACCAGACATTTTTTCAATCTCACTCTAATCTGAATACCCGTTCTTCTGTATCTGTCTATATTTCTAAGGTGAGGTATTATGAACACTATTTACATTATTCGGACTATTGTCCTCATCTTTGTTGCCATATTTATCACAACATTTCGGCCGTTGTATGCTCAAACATGCAATGATAACAGCAAAAATTGCAATATGAGCACTTGTAAAAAATGGTTGCTGAAGACATTAAGTTTATAAGTCCCAGGAATTCATACACAGATGTCCTTATGGACACATGGCACACTGGATAAAGGCAGTGGAGAACTTTGAGAGGTGAATTAACAGGAGATAACTGGCATCCATTAGACATGGCATGTGAAACTAGAACAAGTCTACTCCAGCGAGTGAAATAAAGGGTTCAGTTTGACATTCCAATTGAAGAAGGCTGGAGCGTACAATGTCCGAAACGGTGTGATAAATATGAGGACGATAGTCCAAATAATGTAAATATAGTACCCACTCTTCCATATTTTTCTCCTAATATCTTTAATCCTTTGCTCAGAATTATTAAGTCTCTAACCACTTTCTATGACTCAAATAGGCAGAACAAATGACAGAACTTTTCTCTTGAAGAATTTAAGAAGTTATAGTTTTTCTGACCCCTTCTTTTCTATCCTTTTTAAAATCATAATGGGATTGTGGTAGTAGTTTTAAAAATTTTTCTCCGTTAAGTATTATCATTTGCAATAATGTGCATATTGTCTTTTTTCTATTCTTTCAGTATGGGGATGAAAGTTCCAACAATTGTACAATTAGCAAAGGAAGCTCTAGATCAAGGACATTGTGTTGTGATAGGATTACAGACTACTGGAGAGGTAGATGTTTCTTTTACATTGTTTTTAAGGTTTTTACTATTTTTTTTTTTTTTTTTTTTTTCTTTACAGATATACAACATATGGAAAGCTTAAATAAACTACTATTTGTTTTATTCACATAACATTTTGGGGTCTGCCTATCTTCTCATCTCAGCTTAATAGGTGAAGTCTAAAAAGGCAGTCTATCCTCATTTGACACTGTACTTAAAGAATCATTGAAGATCTTGAGGTATTGACAAATACTAAGAGGGTCAGACTGTACCAAGATCAGTAATGATCTCTTTATTTTCCAGCCTTTAAAAAAGTAAACCAGTTAGTATCACAGTATATGAAATTTGTGGTTTTTTATCATTTTTGTGTTGCTGAAAGAGAAAATGATTAATTTTGAGTTGGTTCGCCTCTACTAAAAGTATTTTATTTCTTTTTAGTCAGTGATGAAATTGGAGAACAGTCTGTTAAATCTTTCATATTTCTTTTTTGCTTCATTTTTCATAACTTCTTTTCTATTTTAGGCATCATTAGAAAGTGAAATGGGAAGAAATAAAGGTGTTTCAACTGGTTTTGTGTCTCTTTGCCGAGAGATTCTTACCCGTTTCATTAGAGTATACTTCCCAACCAACATTGAATGTGGAGTAAGTTCCTATTTGCATTTTGATATCAATAACATTTTTTGCTGTTATGACAGAATTTATAATGCATGTGCACCACTATCAAATTACTTTGAAAATTCTTTTCATTCTGTTTTTTTTTTTTGTTTTGTTTTATACTAGAATTAAATGAAAACTAACTGTATCAATTTAAAATTTTGAAGATTTTGGAAAAGTAAGATTTTTTTTTTTCTAACAAAACAAAAATTCTTATAGGGCCATGAACAATACATAATTATTTTTTACTTATTAAAAAAAATAATGTGTATGTGTACATTAGTTCATATTAATTACATCTGTATATATGGACTATTAAAAAAAAATCATTTTTCATTGTTTTTACTTAATTGGTCTTATTTTCAGCTTTTCTACTCTTTCTGTAATTATGTACATAAGTACTTTTCTTATATATTGCTTATCCGTAAACTTGCTCTTATTGAAAAAAATGAACATTCTCTACAGCAGTCTAATTTTGTTGAAATTACAGTTTGGTAACTGATGACTTATGTTTTGATTTTTACTTTTTGTTTGTTTAAGTAAGAAAAATCTATTGGTGTTTTTTTAAAAAAATAATCTCCGTAAAAGTATTTTTAAATAAGTTGGTAGGTATAACTTCATGTATAATCTGTAAACTTGTTCAGATTTGGACGTTTATCATTTAGATGATGATAATTTTTCCTGTTAATTTTTAATGTATTATATTATTCAGCATTAATTAAATCAATTACCAATGTAAATATTTTTTTTATATTCTGTATTTCAACTGATGAAAAGTTGTTCCCTCTTAGTTTATTTTAGATAATACTGGTATTTGAATCATATTTAGTAATCAAAATTTTGTTTACTGAAACACTTAAGACTCATGCAAGCATTTCTCTGTAAAATTTCCATATTTTTTTAAGCTATTATTTTCTTCTATGTTCACCCAAGAACCACCCAAAGTAGAAAATTACAGGGTAAGAGGCTCAGCTTATGTGGATATGTGGGGACTTGAACAGGTTAAGATTGCTGGATGTTTCCCTGGTCATTGCAAAGTAGCAGTTTGTGGGAGCTGCTGCTTGAGTGGAACTTATATATGAAAGTTAGAAATGGTGGAATTAAGAAATATAGTTTGTTTGAGCACTTTCCATGGAAATAGTGATAGAGCAGCAAGAGGCTTGTGACATTTCATCTGTGAGAAAGAGGTTGTAGGGTGGAAAATAATTTGTCACCCACAAGGGTGCGGAGATGCATTTGGTCTCTATTGAAAATGGAAAGTGAAGACTGGGCACCTCCTGCAGTATTACTCCATTTTTGGCCTAATCTGACACTTGTAGAGGATAGCAGGAAGAGTCGGGTATGTACAGGGAACCAAACATTTTTTCATTATCTTTACCAATGGATCATATGTAAGAGTTCCACTTTAGGTCTAGGTTAATTTTAAGTCCCAATAGGTGCTTAAGGCAGTGGGCCTTCCTGAGAAAACATCTGTTTATTGTGATTAGTGAAAGTTCTGGATCTCATCAGTGGTGATGAAATGTCATTAGTCTGGGTTTCAATGCATTGAATGTGACCAGCCAATCTTTTCCCAGAGGTGAGATCAGCTTCCAAGCTCTGGTCAGCTTGAATTTTGAAGGTGCACCCATATACTGTTGTAACATCAGCATAGATATTCACAAATGATTGGAGTATACTGTTAGGTAGATCATTTATCTAAAATATAAAAAGGACTGAACTGAGAAGCGAACCTCGAGGTATGCTTGCTTTGATCGCTTGGGGCTCAGACGACTGGGACCTACCCATAAGGAAGGACTTTATAATTGAGCAAACTTTTCCAGTGATTCCATAGCTAGAGAGCTTGTGCAGTAACCCTTTCTACCATACCTTGTCAAAGGCTTTTGAAATATCTAATGTGATCATCCTTGAGATGTATTTGTTATTTAGTGCCTCACTGATTCTGGTAGTTAGGATATCAGCAGTGAGCCTGGCTGATCAAAATATAATATCGTTTGTTGATCAAGATGTTCGTATTCAGGTGATCAACAACCTTCTTGTTGATTATAACTTCAAAAAGTTTGCTAATGACACTGAGGAGACTGATGAGTCTATACTGTGAGGAGGATGAGCGCTCACTTGCATTCTTGAAAACAGGGCATACTTTTGACATCTTCCGCCAACTTGGAGGATTTCTCCTTCAAGCATCAGTTAAATAATTTTGCTATTATTAATCATTTTGGATATTCAGTTCCGTCATTTTGAGGATGATACATGGTGAAAATGAAAGTGGAACTGTGGATAATCGCCATGCGGAAGCACATATATGGGAGATCAAGGTCCCTATTTTTTTGATTGCTTGCACAGGGAAACTGGTCCTTAATGTAGGTGCCAAGTCTGTGGCTCTAGTGATTTTGGTGATCATGTTAAGCTATTAGGAGCAAGTAGCCTGAGATTGTGATGTTTGGCAACAAGATGGAGTTCCACTTCTAGAAAGTTGGAACGTAGACCCCTCATATTGGTGTAGGAAATGAACCCTGGGTCTACTTTTGTTTTTGTGAGGCCAGGTTTGATATTTTTGTTGAATTTAGTTGTGTTCATACTTAGTTATCAGTGTGTTTGGTAGAGTGAAAGTCACACCCACAGATGATGCATGCATCAATAACCTGGATTGAATTATTCAGAGATACAGCTGTAATAGTACCTTTCATCATAGCACTGTGAGGCCCTACCGGAGACTGCTGCATGATCCAGAACCCATTCACAAAAATATGCTGATTGGATAGCCTCTTTCAAAATTACTTAAATGTCCTGATCCCTGACTATCAGGCAGATATAAGCATGATATCCTGAGTTTATATGTCCCATCTACCCAAAAATCAAGGTAATAGAACTTCTTGAGTCAGAAATGTTGTACTGGTCTGAGACCTCAGGTATTGAGATGAGCTAGCACTGGCAATTATCTATTTGTGTGTGTGTGAGGGGTGGTGGTGGTGGAAATTAGAACTATTATAGGAATGAAACTGAATTTTGACATTTCAGGAAATGCCTGCTAGATTCTGCTAAGCAAATAAAAAAGTGTTATAAAATGTAGATATTGCAAATGTATAAACATAGGTGTATATAAATTTGCAGATCCAAACAAATGTAAATAGCAGAGGGGGTCTTATGTATGATTAGAGTTTTAACTTAAGCCTCATTAGGCACTAATGGAAAACAAAATGAACATGCAAAGCTATTTTTATGTTCTTAATTGGTAATGCTAAATTGTTGTAGTGCTGTAAAATTTATCTTTATTATTCAATGCACTTTGGGGATTATTATCTTCATCTTTTAGTTTATAGCAGTGATTTTCCTCAAATATGTTGTATTTGGTTTTCTTTTGATGTCACCTGGTACTTGTTTTTTTTTTATGTCCTTAACTAAGACAATGTAGTCTAACAGTCATAAAAGTGAGTGATTTATCTTACTTTCTTTGTTGATACAAAAGAAAGATAAGCTTATTTTCTTTTAGGTTTAAGTAAAATGTGATTCTATTTTTGTCATGCCTCTCATTTTAAACATTCTACCAAATTTCAGTTGCTTTAACTTTTTTTATTGCTGTAAAGATTATTTTATTTAATAAAATAAAAAAATGTGAACAGGAGAAAGTAAATTTTTCAGGTTGAAATGGAAAAAAAACTATAAAATTAGAGAAAATGTATAAAATCTGTTATTTTCATAGTACTGCAACTGAATTAGATTTGATGCATGCTGACATTTATTTTATCTTTCTTTTCATAGTCTGCCAAGTTACCTAAGTTTAATAAACAAAAAATGCATAATCTTTATTCTACTTAACATAGGAAGGCAACTTTTCACGTTGAAATCTTGTTTTAATTGTATGGATTATAAATTATAATTAATTAGGAATTATGTTTTGAGTTGAAAATTTCACTGTAAACATGATTTTGTTGTTGAAGCCAGATAAGAAGCAGTTCAATTTTTATAATTTGATTTTTAAAATATTTTTCAAAAATATATCCTTCATGTTCATATTATTGATATAAATATATTAATTCTATACTAAAAAAAAAATGTTACTTTTATGTGAATTAACTAGCTTACCAATTTTGCTATTTATAATAAATTTGATCGAAATGGACTAATTTAAATCTATATACAGAGCTTATATTAACAGGCATAAAATGTACAGTGTACTAGTACAGTTTGGTTGATTCTATTTTTATATTTTTTATATTAAGAATCAATTTTCCATATTCTCCGTTTGGCAGATAAGCATAACTTTTTTTTTTTTTTTTTTTTTTACCCTAAAATTTTTTCTATTTTTAGATAAATGAACCATCTCGAGAAGATGATTGGTGCAAAGAAGCTAAGTCGATGCTGTTGAAATATGCAATGGAAATTGAATTGCCTGACAGGTGGGATGCACACTATATTCTTGCATTTGGAGAAATCAAGATGTATTAAATGCAAAACAATAAATATTTTTTATTCCTCCAATTTTAAATTAAAGACTGGATAATGACATAACATCTGATTCTGTTAGCCTATTTGAGGACACATTTACACATATTACTAAGTTGTTAACTGATAGTGAGATACCATATGACCTTTTACAAGTTTGGTTCTTGTGGCTACTTGTGTTAAATGAGGTTAAGTCCCTAATCCCTCCTCTTTTAATAAGTTTGAAAAAGCAGAATGTTTTGCTTGCAAATTCACTTTCAATTCTACTCTAGACTCATCAGGAGTCCCTTTGCCTGATCTTCCATTTACAGCTGAGACTACTGTGTGACATGCAAATAACATTGACAATGGTTTCTGCTATCATCTCTGAACTTGATCCCCCATAAAGCATGTAAACTTGATGTTATCTCTGCAATTGTACATAAGAAATGTTCTCTTGAACTGGCCCCTGTTTTCTCCAAGCTCCTACAATAGATTCTTTACTGTTTCTTGCTTTCTGGATTATGGAAATTCTTTTCTATAACTCCTGTTTTTATGAAATTCAGACAGTTTATTCTTTTGAATTATTTACTTCTCTTTGACAACATGTTGTATGTCAATTTCATTAACTCAGAATTGGTTAAGCATCTCATCTTTCATGGTCTTCTTTCAGATGAACAATATGTTTTTTTTTCTTCTAGATCAACTGCTAATGTTGATGGCTATTGCTGAAAGAGCCTGTCAACTCTAGATAAGAAAGGCAAAGCTCAGGCTGTTGCTTTAGATATTTCAGAGGTTTTTGACAGGGTTTATCTTGCTGGTTTTCTTCACAAAGTTGAAGGGTTATGGTGTTTCTTTGATTTGATTCAATGTTTCTTATGAAGCATAATGAAAGTTGATTGAATGGCCACTCCTTTAGACCATTTTGAATTAATGAGGGCATCCTTCTTTTCTTGGACCCACTGTTCCTTATTCTCATTAGTGACCTCCCTGATGTCATTTCTGATTCAGTAGCTAATCAAAATGACACAGCTAGTAAATATGCTGTTTAATAGTAAGTCTGATATGTTTGATAAAATCAAATTGACAGCTGATCATTAAAATGACCTACAATTTGTTGTGAGATGGAGCAAGAAAGGATTTTTTTAATTTTAATGCCTCTAAAATGAAACTACTCTCTATTAATCATCTTAAAAGACGTATTTTTGCCTGGCTGATGCTCATCTTCAGGAGAACAACTCACTGCACCTTCTCAGTCTCATGTTTTTCACTGACATGAAGTGGAATGATTATATTGTATCAATTACTAAGTCTACTGGTAGGAAAGTTGGTTCACTATGTCATGCTAGACAGCTTTTCTTGCCAAAATATATCTTCCATATTTCTAAGTCTACTATTCAACTGTATTGAATATTGCTGGCATATATTTGTCTGGTGCTTCTGCAATGTGTGTAGAAATTCTTGGCAAAATCCCATAAAGAATCCTCAATGCTATTGGTTTTGACTTTGTTGGTACCTTGACTTTACAAATTTAAACACAGTACTAGATTGTCTCATAATTTCACTATTGAAATTGCTACTTGTAATCATTCTCTGCTAATTTTTTCTCTATCACATTTCTTGTTTGTGGAACTTTTTTTCAAGGTTCCTGCTTTCCTGTCAACTACAATTTCAAAAAATTTAATGTTGATAATTGTCATCTTCTGACTATTTGAGTCCTGTTCTTTTATTGTCTTGTTTCTATCACTCTTAATACCCACTTTGCATCCTAGTGGCTTTATTGCCTTGCTTAGGGTGAAATGATTAAAAAAAAAAAAAAAAAAAGTCCTATCCATAGATTACAAAACGAAAAATCATACAAATCATGTATGTCAGTAACTAAAAAAAAAAAATGATAATAAATTAATATTAAAAATGCTTAAAACAGGCATTAATGTTTGCAAGATAATTTCTTTTTTAATACTTTTTGTTTAAAAATATTTGAAGCTTCATTCAAAATCTAAGTTTATGTGATAAAAAAGAGAAAGTAGAAATTACATAAACATCTATTCTAACAGTTTAAATTGGAAATTATCACTATTTTTGGCTACTGAATAATAAAATAGATGAATTTATTATAAATAGTAGAAAAATATGATGTTAGTCATACTACAAGAAATTATATGATTGTTGCATTTTTTCTCATCTCAGTCCTCTGGATGCCATCATTGACCAACTTGGAGGGCCAGATAAAGTAGCTGAAATGACTGGAAGACGTGGCCGTGTAGTCAGACACAATGTGAGTGGATGCCCACAGTATGAATTACGTGCTGGATCAGGCTCAGGTTCAAGTTCAGAGCTGGAAAGCTTAAATGTCAATGAGGTAATGATTAAATATTTTCTTATGATGAAATGTTATTTCTATGATGTGCAATTTTGCGTGTATGCACTGATTAGGTAAATTAAATCCCAGTGGGGAAAATGTATTTACCTGTTTATCAGTGTAACTGAGATGATGAAAGAGGCATCTGGGTTTATTTCTTATTGCAAGCTATTTTCTTGTTGAGGAACTATGCATGTTTGATGGCAGTATTTTGTATTTGAGGCTAAAAAGTGGAACCTATACTTTATTTTCACATAAAATATTCATTTTAAAACAATACATACACTATCGTACCTCTGTGAAAACATCTGGAATTCAGAACTTCAGAGTATTGAAACTTATCTGAATGTACCATTATTTTTATCAATGTTTTGGCAATGTTTGTATTATTTACAATTTCCTAAATGATTGTCCAAAGTTTTGAAAAAAAAATTCCACAGTTGCAATTTTACTGAAAATAGGATTAAATTGTATGTGAGGTCACTATATACAACTGGTACCATGTAACCTGCCACATGATTGATTCATTAACAACTAAACTCGTTCCCCTTGAGGAGGGTGGCTAAGCTCCCAGCAAAATTAAAAATTAGAGCTGCTATTAAAGGGCAAATGATCTTTGTAATAGGCATCAACCATCTAGCATATTCAGGCAGATTGGGCTCCATAGTTACGTATACAGCCATTCTGGTAATGACAGATCATTGTTGGCTACAGGGCTTTCTAGACTGAAGTCAACGACCAGGGTGCAGTGTTCTCCTGATGGAATCAAACTTGTCCATGTCCAGTGTAAGCTGGAGGACATTGTCTATGGTTTGACCTGGAGAAGGATGGTCTCTACCAGGTCTATTTACCCAAGATATACTATGCATGAATGAATACTTCTCCAGCTTTCAACCCATATATGTGGAGGGAGCTGGTCAGGTGCTCAGCTGTGCAGTGGTCCCTATGATCACACTGCGCTCATTGGACTGATGGTGGTGATTATTATAAATTAGGAAACTGTAAATAGAAATAGTTTGGCCATGATAGATGATTGAATGGAGAGTGATAGATAAGATTAATAAGTGTTGTTTTGTAAAAGATGGTGGGCATATTCAAATAAATGCTGTTAGTCTGAATTAATTCACTGTCATACCTGAACGTACCTATTCTATTATTAATAGACTCTTCCACACATAATAAGTAGTAGTAGTAGTAGCGGTTGCCAGTTGGGCTCAGTGGTGTTGAGTGAGTCAGTCGATGTCGGACATAGAAGTATAAACCATCACAACTAGATTGCTGCGTCATTAACTCTTATTTCAAGTTCCTAACGTTTTGTACGTCGAACCTAATTTAGAACGACTTAGTGAGATACAAGCCTCCACTGTAAAAACTACTCTACAACATTCACATACTAGGATGATTTAGATGCAGAAATAATTTGTGGTGTTGGCATATGAATGTGTTCATTTATTTCTGATAAAGTTTGTATTAAAATATAAAGCATATGCAAATTGGAGTATTAGGTGTTGCCTTCTGAAATATACACTGTCACATTTTATATAAGTCAATATTTTCACAGTAAAATTGGTATTAATCAATTGATGTTGGAAAAGTATTTTAGTCTATACTTTTTAGTATATGTGAGTTTTAACTGATAATATATCTCCTTTTTAAAAAAAAAAATGGTCACTAATATTGTGCTAATGTTGGTTACACTTTTCAATATTTGAATTTATTTAATTTATAATTGAACCATTTTAAAATATGTCCAATTTAAATTTATTCAAATTTAATTTATCAATTAAAAAGAAATTAAATGAATTTATTCAGCCTGATAAACGTAAAATTAAAATAAAGTTTTTAGTACAAATTGCTGTCAAACATCCTGGAAAACAAGAGCAAGTAATCGATACAAATTTATTAATTAAAACTTATGCAATTGTTAAAATTATAAAAAAAAGGTTGATAACAAACAAGTAAATGCCAACATATTAGGGGTTTAATTATTTAAATATGAAACCCTATTAATTTATTTTATTTAATTAAACATGGACTTAATTTAGTCATTAATTTCAGCATCTACATTGTATACAGTTTTAGCACAAACTTAAAAAACCTCTTAAGAGTTTCTTCATATAAAGTCAGGTCTTATCAGCTACTAGGAATCTCTAACTATGAAATATATCAAATATGTAATTGTAGCAGTGTAGAGGGACTGATTTTAGCAGTCAGCTACTTCCCAGGGGATCAATTTACTATGAATTTCTATTGTAAATTGAATAGACCCCTAAACTACTGAAATACTCGACAGAAGTAGACCATTCATCAATTTTACCCTTTTTAAGGACATGAATTAACCTGATCCAGTGTTCTATTGTGAATAAAAATTTTATTTAAGATCCTACATCCACTTACCTTTTTTAGTGTATAGTATACTATCTGTTTAGTTTGTTTATCTTTCCAATTGTACCTTGACAAAAGTCCTTTTTTTTAATTTTTATTCATAAGAAGTAGACCTTAAAAGGTACTCGGGAATCCTAGATGTGCAATATATTGATTAGGTGCCGCTTGGTATAAATCTAGGTCTTAAATATACCTAATATCCTGTCTAAATGTCTGTAACCCTTGCTGAGCAATTTACTTTGTCTCTTATTACAATTAAAGTTTAATTAAATCTTATCAATTCCATTTCTGATGAAAACTAAAATTGACACTAAACCTTTATAAAAAATTGTTTTTAAAGGTTTTAAATTTAATTGTAATTGAGTTTTATTTATTTTTTAAATTGTAGTTACATATTTGAATTTATTTATTTAATTTATAATTGATTCATTTTAAAATATGGTTGATTTTATATTTAAATTTATTCAGATTTAATTTACTAGTGAGTGCCATATTGCATTTGTTCTGTTTCACGATGAAGATTGACAGTATAATAATAAGTTTGGCCTTGAATTTTGAAATCATATGTTTCTCTACCAGGTGTGACATTTATCTTTGCACCAAACAATACAAATGAAGATGAACTGTTGTAATTGCGATCATTTTCCTTGAAACTGACTAAACTGTAGTATTGAAAAAATAATTTATATTTACATGCATGTTCACAACTAATTGAAATTTTATTAGCGATTCCTGCAAACTTTATTAGAGCATTTACCTGTATAGTATAAAATGAGTGTATTTTCATTGAATATATATATCAAAAATGGATAGTTAGAAGTGTAAGCTCTTGTAAATATTTTTTGGATAAGTAAATCTTTCAGACCTCTCTTCTCCTTCACCTGGTGTTTAAGAACTTCATGTTAAAAACATTTTCACATGAGTAAGTAAAATTGCAAAGAAGCATGCATAAGTTATTTATTTCTGATGTCAATTTTGACAGCAAGTAAACAGTACTTATGTTCATAATTTAATCTAAAAATCAGTGTTATAAAAACTCTCTGGAATTTATGAGTTCAGCGAGTTGATGGAAACTTGTTTAGAGTGTCAGTTTTTGTTATGCAAGTACAGCATGAATTTTTATTTATAAAGCCAAAAAAAGCTTTGATTCCTATTTTAATATTTGATTAACAGAAGACCCCACATAAGTTAAAATGAGTTCCTTGTCATTCTATAACCTTCATCAGTTTTTTACTCCTTGATTTTGCTAACTTTTCTAGAATTGACTTTAACATTACTTGCAGTTTTCCTAGTTCCCAGAGATCTTTGATTGTATATTTTTTTCTACTCTCATATACATCTATTGAAGTTTTCTATTGGATTAATATCTGGAGAGGTTGGGAGTCATTATATTATTTGGTTGTCTTTGAAATCTTTTTTTTTATGTACAAATCTATATAATACATGCCACATATAGTTTCTTCTTTTGAAAGATATTCATTTATGTGTATATATGTATGAATACATATAAACTAAGGACACATACCTAATGCAATCAAGGGTCTCCAGAATTTCTGAAAACACTCCACTCCTTCAAGTCAGTACCAGTTGACAATGTTCTTAGTACCAGTTCACTCTCTTCTTCCTTGTCTGTCTGTCTCCATCACCTTAACCTTTACATCTGAGAGTTTGCAAGCTCTAGAGTATACCACACATACAATTGCCCATGACTGAACATTGGTTGAGTAAGAACAATCCCACCTTTTCAAATGTCTGCCCCTGGGACTTGTTAATAGTCATGGCATATTATAAACGGACAGGAAACTGGGTTCTCTCTAAAGTGAATGGCAAGTTAGAGTTGCTTGGAGCCAGCTTTATTCTGGGGATGAGGACAAGTCTGCCACTTAGTGAGCCACTAATCAAGGAAGCCTCAGTTGAATGGTGATGCATGGCCACCACTTCAATCTTGTACCATTGTAGAGTCCATTCTGGATAGAAATGTTATGAAGCATTACTATTGGGCTAGGTTTTAAACTCAATTTATGAAGAGGCATTCATGATGGTGTCAAAGAGTTTAGAAATTCAAGTGGGTAGTGCTCAGCCTCAGCAGGATCATCTGTCAAAATTTTATCTGTACTATAAAAGGTGCAGCAGTTGCCTGGAAGTTGTCTCAAAACTTCTTCATTGATCAGGAGGCAGTTTTACTCTGTTCCTCCTCTCTTCCTCAGATGTATTATTGATGATATCATCCACCAGAGAGACATCAATGCATGAAATTTGAAGCACTTTGTCATCAATAGCAAGATTAGTGCCTTGTAAATCTGTTGATGTTCCATTGATAAGATGGAAGAGCCATACTGCAAATTCTTTTTGATCTGCTGTTGTCCTGATGTTTTGGCTTAATCTGTATTGGATGAAAATCAGCCGTAGAGGAGGATTTTTAATACAGATTTCAATGATTGCCTCACGACTTCATCTTGGCAATATGAGGGAGACTTGCTCAAGAGTACAGTTTTACCACCAAAAACAGTAGCATTCAGGAGTCTATCATGTCAACTATCACGGTCCTGCATCAAGGTCAGAATGGTAGCATTCTGTATCATAACATAGCTAGTCAATGTAGGTTGTTGCTGGGTGACCAACCTATCCTGCTCTATGGCTAAGTGCTTGATGAGGAAATAATTATAAGATTCCAGTGTACTGAAACTGATCTTGAACAGGAAAATCTGACCTGCTTGAATAGGATGATCAAGAATGTCATCATAATTTTTAAACCTAGATAAATTCAAGGTCTAAAAGCAGGTCACTATCTCAGTCCAGATCACAATCTGTATCATCATATTATAGATTTTAGGTTACCAAGAAACAAATATCAATTAAGATCTAGAATGTAGAAAAGAAATTGAAATTGTGAAACAGGAGGTGTGATCTGATTGTACTGAAAGTAATTCTCTTGAGGAAGGTGGTGTTGATTGTTACCAAAATAGGAATCATCATAAATAGAAACATCCTAAAGATTGTTATTGGAAGTAGTGCTGACACTAGTGTGAAATTACCAGATTGTTACTCATTAATTAATGCAGCCAAAACATATCAAGAATACACTGCTTCTGTTAATTCAAGTCATTGACAAGAAGCTATACAGGATCAAAAGGATGATCTCAGGGAAATAATACATATGAACTAGTTTCTTTTCCAGAAGCTAGAACATCACTGGGATCTTATAGGATTTTTAATTAAATCTATCTAATGGTAAGGAACATTAAGAGGCATGTCTGATCATGAGGTATTCACAAATCTCTGGTATTGATTATTATTTTCATCTACAGGATACATGATCTCCCTTTGAATATTAATGCAATTATGGTTCCTATATGATCATCAAAGTCAAACCTGGTCAGTACCTAGACGGGTGAGTGTTTGGGAATACCAGTTGCTGTAAGCTTGGACATGCTGGTGGTCTAATGGATAATGTTATGGGACCTTCCTTTATGGACTAAATGGACTCGTCCTATTACTATATATACGGGGAGATTATGCCTCTCAGGGGGGCTGTCTAAAGTTGACGAGTTGACTACTGTACTTTGCTATCAGTCGGTCGTGCCACACTTTTATATTCGTTCTTTTTGTTTAATAATGTGTTTTCACTAAATTGCTGAGTTCGAGTTTTCTTTCGGACCTATTCTGGGTCCACAACACTGGCGACAAGGATTTAAAGAACTCCACAGGAGAACCATAAAAGAAAAAAAAATTTGTTTACCAGTATCTGATTTAAAGAACTCCACGGGAGAACCATATAAAATGAAAAAAAAAAAAAAAAAGTCTAAAAAAACAGGCTTATTGGGTGGAAAAAAGAGAAAAAAATTGCGCCGAAGTTATAAACTTTGTTTCGCGGTTGTCCAAAAAAATACTGTGTATGAGAATAACACATTTAAAGAGAAAAAAGTGATTTATTTTTTTTTCTTTTCCCTTCCGAGCAACACAAAGGTTTACGTTATATTGAAAATTAAAACATGGAAGAGTTTAAAGCTACTATGTTAGAACTGGTTAGAGTCCAGCTTGAACAACAACAAAGAAACACAATTAGAATTACAGCAAAGACATGAAGAAGAACAATTAAAATTACAGCAACAAATGATAGAACAGAAAATGTTTGAATAATTGCTTTTACAAACAGGGTCAAATAAGGGTCAAAATACCGAGAGCGAAACTACTTTTTCACAAAACACGATTTGGAGTGCAATTGACAATTTCACTTATTTGCCAGACGAAGATAAAACCTATGCTTCATATATCGGAAGGTATGAGGATCTATTCGAAATAGATTGTAGGAAATGGGCAGACGCTAAAAAACTACGCCTACTGCTCCAGAAATTAGGGACGACTGAATGTCAGTTATCAGTTATCTCCTGCTAATTTTTGATAACTGACATCCATCAAACATGGCACATGGAACTAGAACAGTCTACCCCAGTGATCGAAATAAAGGGTTCAGTTCGAAATTCCAACCGCCTGAAGAAGGCCGGAGCGTACAACGGCCGAAATGTTGTGACAAATATGGCGTCAAAGATGAGGACAATAGTCCGACTAATGTAAATACTGTACATAATACCTCATCTCAGAAATATAGACAGACTCTTGTCACAATAGCTTGCAAAACCTACTGTTGTCTTTTCAACTCTTAAACTATGACAGCTTTTGAAAAGTCTACACAATTATCAAATCCTTTCTCTCGGGTAGGGCCATGGTCCATAAAGGTTGCTGTGAATGGCCAGTCTTCTGAAGCCCATGAGATCCAATACAAGTGTCTCCCAAGACTCTCTTTTTGGGCCTACTGACTTTCTGCTTTTTTTTTCCCCCAAATGAGATTCTAAGATGATTAGTAAATATCTTTGCAAGATAATACTACAGTTTATGATAGCGTCTTCAAAAATCAAAATGATTGGAGCCTTTCCTCTGACCTAGTTCTAACAGCTCAATGTGGTGGGGAAAAACTGGCTTGTAACATTCAATACCTCAAAAACCAAGCTAGTATTATTTCACCATCACCAATCAGACCATGAGTTTATCATGATGAATGGTTGCTCTCTCAGTGAGGCTCTCTGCTTTGATCATCGATTCATTCCAGACCTCAAGTGGAACTTATATATATATCCTTTGCTGAAAATGCTTGAAAAAGGGTTGGCTCATTGTAACACTCCAGAAACTACATGACTCCTTATGCCATGCTTTATATTATTTGATTCTACAAGAGTCAAAAAGATAAAAAATGGAATGTTGTTGCTATATCTGGGCTGGAGCTTTTCAAACCTCACTTTGAAGCTATAATAAGAGTTCAAGGTTGTTTATGTGGCATTATAAAGGATGATTTATTTTCCACCTCGCAGTGCAATGCTGCAAGCTTATCACTAATCCTTCACTATTTTCATGGCAAAAGATGAACCAATTCACCAATTCCAACCTTTACAGCGCTAAGACCCAATATACTATGTTTTCAGAGTCAAACAACCCTCATTCCCTCCCTATTTCATTTGTCAAGAGCAAGTTTAACTTGAACAGCTTTTTCTTCCAAGAACTACTGCTTTGTTGCGGATTCTTACTTGAATGCTACAAACTTAACCTCTTCAAGTCAAGAGTCAATCATTACCTATCCTCCATATCTTCATAATCTTCACTTTCCACTCTAACATTCCTATACCTCATTCAGTAACCCTCTACCTTCAGTGGCTCTTGACTTGTATTGGGCAAACATTAATAAAAAAAAATCCTCAGTAAAGCAATCCTCAGCAAAAATAACAGTGGTTAAATTTCATCCATAATTTATTTCAATTTCGCTTGTGTAAATTTTTCTTTTTAATTTAAAAAAAATTAATTCATTTTTTTATGTAATACAATGCATTGTAATGAAAATTTTTTTTTTTATTTTTTTTTTTTTTTATTCTATTTTGTAAAGATAGAAACAAATATGTGACTGACTCATCTGGTTCACGAAAACTGACAAAAGAACATTGTTTACAATATATTTTAAATTATGGAGGAAACAGATTGTAATTTTATTTTCAATTTTTTTCTTTAGAGGAACCGATTTATGGATGGGAGAAAATTGATTGCTATAATATCTGATGCTGCCAGCACAGGTGAGCACAAATGTTTTGATTAGTTATATTGAACAGATACATCTTATAATCTAATGTTTGAAAGTGGAAAATAATTTTGCAAAATCTTTATTCATAAAACTTTCTCATATTCATGATATTTTCCTGATATGTTTTTATAAATTAATGTTTTATATTTTTACCTATTTTAAAGGGAGAAACAATCTCTTAAAAATAAATGTAGCTTTCCTGATTAGTTTGATGGATTTTTTTTTTTTTTTTTTGCTAATCATTTCATCTCCAAGCAAAGCAATAAAGCCACTAAGATGCAAGGGGTTACTGAGTTTGAAAGAATATAAGAAAAAGAAAACTTTATTAAGGAAAGAGAACAAGAATTAAGGAGACAGAAGATAATGATTGACATTGCATTTAAATTTTTCAAGATCAATGTTGACTGGAAAATAAAAAGCTGCATCTGGGTTCCACAAGGGAGAAACACAAGAGAAGAAACTATTAGCATAAAAATTAGTTACACCTTGCCATTTTAACTGTAAAATGATGAGACTTTGCTGTCAATTTAGTACTTAGTCAAGGTACCAAAATGGTAACTCATCAGAACAATCACCATGAAAATATTTATAGAAAAGGCACAGGGAAACTGTTATGGCTGTGAGAAAGTGACTGAAGCTGACGTGATTTCTTTGTATTTTATCAAGAATCTCTAAATATGTAGTAGAAGCACCAGATCAGAGGTGTCATCAATATTCAATGCATGGACGAATAAATTCTGACGAGAAAAGCTTTCTAGCATGACACAGTGAATGAACTTTCATAGCAGCAGACCTAGCAACTGATTCAATATAATCTTTCCACGTGACACTGACATGAAGTCAGTGGAAAACATTAATCCAAGAAGGTGCAAGGAGTCAGCAACAAACAGTCAAAATAAGTTCTCTCAGATGATTAAAAGAGGGCATTTTTGTTTTGGAGGCATTAAAATTAACAAACTATTTGTTGCCTCCAATTAACAACAGATTGTAGGTCATTTTTAAGATCAGCTGCCAATTTGACCTTATCAAACTGATCACTTGCCATTAAGATGGGAGTAAATAGTTGTCATCATTATAGGTACTGAGTTGAGAACTTATAACATTAGGGAAGAATGAAGATTAGGAATAATGTAAGTCCAAGGATAGTCCTAGGGGACATCTTCTTTAATGCAAAAAGAAGTAGGAGGGTGTGCATTCAAAACAACTTTAATTTTTTGTTTTGATAAGAAAGATTGAATCAGATGAAAAAAATCATCCAGAAAAACCATACATTTTCACCTTGTGAAAAAACAGCATTTCAAACACTGTCAAATGCCTTTGAGATAGCCAAAGCAAAAGCCTAATGTAAATTATAGAGAGAACAGGAGTCAGTTCAGGAGCATATTTCTTAAGGACTGTTGCAGGTATACCATCAAGTTTAGATATGATCTCAGTGGAGTACAATCAAAAGGCATATATTCATGGATGCTGGATGTGTCTTTCGGTATGTGTCAAACACTCTCACAGGAAAAGCCAGAGTAGACACAAAAGCTGCAGATGAAATGCTCATCAAAAGTTGACTTGGTACTCTGGAGAAGTTAGGGAATGAGTATGATTGTCTGTGGACTTGATATTGGTATGGCTAGATACAGTTAAAAAAGAAGTTGAACCTACTTGCACTTTCAATAGATACACCTGGTCCTGATATAATAAAAGCTGTACACTGTCAAAGTGGGCATACTGGCATCAAGTGCACATGTAAAGCAAATTCATCCCTTGATTTTGAAGGCAGATGTTATACAAGGTCCACCAGAAGAACTTCTTACAGATAACAATACTTTGTTCCTTAGCCAGATGGTCAAAGACTTCTTAGCAAAGTGTGGTGTCCAACTCTGCTTCCAATGTACATATGTCCTTGTAGGCAATGGTATAATTGAGATGTTATTGCAGCATTAAAAGAGTTGCTGCCAGAAGGCAATACTCAATCATGGAGATGGTCTACTGGTATGTCACACCAAAGACATCTGCTCCATTACTGCACTTGCTAACATGATCCAATGCTATTAGATGGAGTGTGTAATTGGTATCAGCAGTCCACAGAAAATTTCTTCAACGGAATGCCATGCCACTTGTATGAACTTTGTTCCACTATTGGCATCAGAGAGTAATACAGATGGTACATCAAGCACATGAAAGTGAAAGAGTATTTGGATTTGGAGTATCCAGTGGCTCTTCTGATGGAGATGATTTGTGACCTGAGTCAGATGAGCAGGATCAAAAAGCCATACTCAAGGATGGGACAATGAAATCAGGCATAGTTGACCATGTACAGAAGAAAAATGGTGCATACCAACCCCTGTGGAATGAATAAAAATACTAGACAAAAACACTGGAGAATCTGAAAGGATCGGCATATATTCTAAGCTAGCCTATGATGACCGCCTCAGTAAGCCAAGCCTTAATATAAATATAAATACCATATAGATGGCATGAAGAAAGAAATGGTGATGGAGAGAACCAATCTTGACAGCAAAGCTTTAGAACTGATTAAAAAGAGAAGTGTTTGCAGAGGGAGCCATGTTTAACAATGCTGCATTAGCTCCAACTTCTATCTTCAGGATTGTGTCATGGAGCAATAGCATAGAAGATGATTAAAGTGCTGGTTTGTGAATTTGATGATGTATTTGTGAGTTCAATTCCTTGGTTGAGTAATATAGACCTGGACTCTGTGGAAACAGGACTAGCAATAACTGAGCAGTACTAAAAAGAACAAGACAATAACTGTAGACATAGACTGCAGAACAGAAAAAAAATCCACCCTCTGTATATTAGAGGGTGAATTTTGAAATTCCCAGAAGGGTATTCAGATTGACAGACACCTGGAGAAGTTTGGAAGGCACAATAGGAGAACTGAAAAACATTGTAATAGTAACAACAAAGATAAGGATGATTGTAAATAATATTCTATTTCTTAAACCAACAAAATTATTACTACAAATACTTAGCATCTACTAATGACAATATATCATTTGCCTGTATAAATAGATGCCGTAACCAATATTTTCAATGTAATTTCAAATCAGTGCTTATGTTTTTAGTCTTTGTCATTATCTGGTGGCTTTTAGATAATATTAAATTTATATTTACAGACTTTATTAAATTTTATAATCTTTTGTGAAATAGCTAAAAGATTCTTTCTTTTCCATTATCTGTATATTTCTTTATTAGTAGGTTTCTTAGTTAATACATTTCTGACTTCTGTACATGTCAATAATGTTTTAAAATTAATTTTTAATGCTAAGTTTAAATATTGTGTGTCTAATATATTAAAAAGTTACTCTAAAGCAGTGTCTACTGTAAAAATGCTGCCAGTTTAGTTAATTAAAAAAACAGTTATCACAAATTGTAATAAAGTAAATTTTAATTTATAAAGTTTACTAATGTCTAACGTTTAAAATTTAAGCAGTAATAATACTCAAAACCAGGTATTTAAAATATTGTGAGTTATGTATGTTTTATTTATTTGTGCAGGTATTTCTCTTCATGCTGATATCCGAGCTGACAACCAGAGACGGCGTGAACACTTGACTATTGAACTTCCATGGAGTGCAGACAAGGCTGTTCAACAGCTTGGCCGCTCTCACCGTTCTAATCAATCTAGGTGATCTGAGTTTATGATGTAATAATATCTTATTATATTTTGTACTATTTATCTGGTTAAGGTATTATGGGAACCTAATTAGTGTAGACGTCAATAATGTTTTAATTTTTAAAATGTGTTTTTTAGAAAAAAACTAATATTAAGATTAAGGCCCCCAAATAGCCATTATAATGAATTAGTAAGTGTTCATTGTGCATCTGGTTACCTGGTAGTTTACCTGGAGTTCAATTTAGAGATGGACGGTTTAACTGAAAAAACTGACTTTTTTCGGTTTCATTTTCACACTGAAACTGCATTGAATTTTTTTATGAAACTGAAATTGTTGTTTTTTTTTTTTTTTTTTTTTTTTTTTTTTTTAAGTGCTATCACTACTGAGTGACCATATCCAAAGAAACACTATTGAAAAAGACTTTCAGATGTTAATAAAATTTAATTTTATCAACATTTATACCATTGTAAGAGAAAAAGATTGAACAAAAATATGTTAAAAATATTTGTCTAATTTTAGAAAATAAATGAGAAATCTATTTGTTTACAAAAGAAATGAAGAAAAAGGGAAAAATACATGATGTCTGAAAGTGAAATCTTTCAGTTTTCAAAAAAAAAACTTTTTGTGGTAAAATTAAGTTAGCAATAAAATAGTAAAAATAAAAAAAATAGTTGCCAGTTTTGTCTTAATGACAAAATTTTATGAAGTATTTTTTTGTAAGTGTTTTCTAATATGCCAGTATGCCAATCAGGAAATAAAGTTGTAAACCAGAAAAATGAATGAAAACTTTTTATAAATAAATTTGTTTTTTATCTAAGGAATGCACCTAAATTAGATATTAAAATATTTAAATTAGATATTAATTAAGAATAATTAAAATAGTTCTTAACTTTGCTTTTAAAATGTGTATATTTTCAGATATGTGAGTCTCTAGTGTAGTTTTCTACAAATAAAATTGTTTCTATCTAGCGAATACATCTAAAATTTAGATATTTAAAAAAAATAAAGTTTTAATCTCAGTTTTAAAATGTGTATATTTTCAAAACTGCATATCATTTTTTTAAACCCAAAGTAAAAATTATTCTTTTTTAGATAGAGTAACAAAAAAGATGGTTGACTTCGACATCTTGGACTCTTGGCTTAAGCAATTTCTGACAAATGTTAAAGTGTATAATACTTTGAATCTGATCAAGCTCAAGTCTCAAAATACCAGCCAAAAAAAATAGCTTGCTTCTAAAACCACGAAAGACATCCATGCTCTTAAAAATGAAAATGTAAGAGTAGAATTTTGTGATAAACTAAAGTGAACATTGATGTCTCTAAATATTGACCAAACCAAAACAGGAATCAATATATTTGCATCTACTCTAGCTGAAGCTTGTGGAATAATTCCAAGAATATCTAGATCTTCTTGTGGGATGGCAATCTTCATTTAAAAAGATTAATAGAAGAAAGAAACAGAAAAGGAAAAAAAAAATGGAAAGGAAAGTACTAAACAACTAATGAAAAGAAACAAAAAAAATGCTCTGAGAAACCAATATCTTTGAAAAATTGGAAATCAAATTAATGAAGCCAAGCAGCATAGACAAGGTGTTGAAATGTGGAGAAAAGCAAAAATATCATGACAACATCATACAATTGAAACCAAAACTGAAGAAATGATCTCAAAAAATGTTTTGAGTCACATTTCAACCCTGATCACAGCTGAAGATTCCTGCAGCAATAGAATATGCACCACTATACATCTGAGTATTACAAAGTCTGTCTCCAAACATCAAGGATTATGAACCTAATTATGAAGTAAAGGATGCTATAAAAAAAAAAATAAAGCATCACTTGACATCGAGGCTCTGAACTTCCAAGCACCTCCCAAATGAGTCGGGTATGCACTATAGAATCTTGTAGACTGGTGCTACAGAATCAAAAATAAAGAATCATACCAGATAAAAGAAATCAAATCACTTGGTTACTTTCAACAGCAACCACAATTAAAATGGATAGCACATGTAACTTGAAGAGAAAATAATGGCAATCAAAATTTTGATGTTCTTCATTACAGCAAACAAAAGGTTTGGAAAGAAATCTACATCAGTACTGGAAAGAGCAATAACTGGGTATGAGAAACTTATTTTGCTCAAAAATTGTTTTAATAGAAAGATTTTATAAATTTCAACCAGATGCAGCACTAGCTACTCAGTCAATGAATACCAAATAAGGAAACTGATAATGCCATTTCCATATAAACCATTTATTTAAATGCATCCTTGAATCTTATTTGTTATTTATAATTTTTTTTTTTTTTTTTTTTTTTTTTTTTTCAGTGGACCTTTGTATAAATTAGTAACTACCAATTTGGGTGGGGAAAGAAGATTTGCTGCTGCCGTTGCTCGTCGGTTACAGTCTTTAGGTAAACTAGTGATTATTTCCCTTGTTCAATTGTATCTCTTTAACCTTGGTATTGATTTAACATTTGGTTTAGCAACTGTTGAAGTACAGTATTTATCTCATGTACTGCACTATTATTGTTAGTGAGTGCTCTTGTGGGTGCTCTAATATTCTGTCTTTCTACTGAAGTTGTCTTCATCAAGCAAATATTTAGTCAGTTCATCAAATCATGTACAAGTGGCTGAATGTTTTTGAAACATTAAGAATTGTTTTTTTTTTTTTTTTTTTTTTTTAAAGGATTTTTGAAACAGTTTCAAAATGCGTAGTTCTTATTTGTCATATCTCTTGATCTTTTCATTACGAGAAAAAATGAACTTCATTTAAAGATTTTTTTTTTTTTTAGTATTTACTTTATTTTTGTTTACTATGATTGATCTCATGATTTTGTCATTTGTACTATTTGCCAATTACTGCATTTTTTCTTTGTTTAACCATAGTGGGTTCATTTTTCCTGTAACAAGCAATTTTATTAATGTATTTTCTTTCAGGTGCCTTAACCAAAGGTGATAGGCGAGCCGCCACTGGAGCTGATTTGACTGAATTCAATTTTGATACTCCATATGGCCGAATTGCTCTCAGAACAATGTACCAATACATTTGTATTGTAAGTGTCAAATTATATTTAATTTCTTATGACTGATAGTGTGTTGCTACTTTAAATTAGCATTAAGGATATATTTTTTATTAAATGTAATTATGCAAGATAATTTTTTTTTATATTAATATTGATAAAAAGCAAATTTTTTATGAAATTTTTTTATATTTTTATTTTTTCCAAAATAAAATATTCTACCTTTTATACAAATAAATTTTCAGTCCTCTTACTCTGATTTTTTTTTACTTTTGCTATTCATTAAACTTTATTTCTATCCTCATTTTATAACACACTCTTTTTTATTTGAATGTATTTTTTACTTTGCTTTTCCAGAGTGATCTTGTTCCTGGAGTTGCATTTTCTTCTGTCAAACAAACTGTGGATTGTCTGGAGAATTTTCATAAAATTATGCAAGTGGGTTGGGCTTTTCTGCTGCTACTTGTATATTTAAATAGATAAATTAAAAAAAAAAAAAACTTTTATTTAACACTAAGTATATTATTTTCAATATGTTCACTTTCAAAAACTCTGTTAAAATAAGTATATATTATTAAAACAAGTATATATTATTAAAACATGTTTGAAATCCAAAGTGTAGTACCCTTAAGTAGGCATATAACTTGTCTCTCTTTATAAATCTTTGTAAAATCTGCTTGAAATATACTGATCAATACTTTGTTCATTTAAAACATTTGAACCCTTGATTGTTATGGATTTTCTTTGTACACATTTTCCAGCAGTTATTATGCTGGATTGCATTTTAAACAGATGTTAAAATGTACCAAGTTTACAATAGAGATCAATATGGTGTTTATATACTTTTAAATTAAGTTTAGGAGTAAGTATTTCATTTGATCTGGGAGTAAATACATGTCTAACTGTATACAACTTACAAGTAATTTCTGTCTTATGTTTTAATTTATGTGGTAAAAAGTAATTATAATAATAGCTTTAGTTATCGCAGTTTCAGTTTTTGAATTGCTTTATTGACGCTGGAAGTTAATAGAAAATTCGGTGTTTGTTTTTTTTCTAGTAAGTTCTTTTTATTTCCATTAAATAAATTTCTCTTTTTTTTTTCCCCCCCAGGACTGCTTAATTTTGATGGGAATTGTTGATATGGACCCAATTAAGTTCACGGTGCAAGTGAAAAAAGAAGATTTGGGAAATGTTGGTAAATTTCTTAACAGGATTTTGGGTCTTCCTGTGATGAAACAAAATCTTGTAAGTTTTCATCTTTCCTATTACATAATTTCTATTTGTAAATTATTGCATAGCATAAATACATTCTGCAATGGCAAAAGTGGTCTTGCTACATTTAGTAGTTTAAGTTACACAGGTTTAATCCCCAGATATAAACCATTCTTTCTACTTTTTAACTAGCCTTTCTGAATTCAGATACTTTGCTTGGTATATGAGTATATATTTTCTATATTATTATTTTTTTATTAGTACTTTTCTTTTTATTCTCCTTTCATTGTTGTTTTTTTGTATTAAAACTGAGTCAATAGTTTTCAAACAACATAAAATTGGAAAGATTGGTACTTACATCCTACACTTAGAGTATTTTTCATGGATGTCACCTTAACCACTTCAGCTTTAGAAGTGTCAATGTACAATCTAGCCATTCTGCTTTCCTCTCTACTTCTCTATTCCAGCCTTTTTTTTAATTGATTACCTAGTTGTGATAAAAAGCAACAATAATAAGATTAGTAAAATAATAATAATCAGGGTTTTTCAACTTTGTAAGAAATATGTCCAAAATAGAATTATTTGACAGTAATTAATTGAATGATGTACATCCTTATTTATATATAACATCAACAAATGTATTTAGTAAAATATTGACATTTTAAATGACAATTGAACTAGCTGATCTTTATGAGTATAGTATTTTAATCTTTCTTTCTACAGTGCCTCTTTACAACATGGATGGTCATGGCTCTCTGCAGCAGTACCTTATCCTTTATGATTTCATCTGTTTTTTTAGTACTTGTTTTTCCAGCAATTTGCACAAACTTATCAAGTGATTCTATTGTATCTAGTGTCTCTTGTTAGTGTTAAATTCTCCAAGCCTTCTTTCTTCATACATGTCCTAAAATTTTAAGTTGTCTCTTTATGATTTTTATCAAGAGTAGTTGAAGTAGTTGCTATTTTCTTTAGAATTTGTTGCATACTCTCTCCATGGATTTCTGAACAATCTTCAGTAGGACCACATCTCTGTTGCCTCAAGTATTTATTTTTGACAACTTGTTCAGCTTTCACATGACTGCATAGGTAAGTAGACATTAGACAGCTGTACAGAAGCACACTTTTTCATTTATATCATTATTTATAGACCTTTATTGCTCTACTCAGTTTCTGAAAAGCATCTTTTACTTTTCCTATGCACCTTCAAATGTCTGTGTCACATTTTCCAATGTTGATACTGCCCAAATATTTGAATTTCTGAAGTTGTTTAAATGTGATGTCCCTCTTGAACTGTCCTTTTTGTACACCATCATACATTGTCTTTTTACAATCCTATTTTTTTTATTTTATTTTTTTTTTACTACATTTTCTAATAGTTTTTTTTTTTTTTCAATTTTCTTTCTGAACCTGCCATCAACACTCATACTCATTTCTGTTGAATACATTAAGAGTATGTCCACTGATAATAAATCTTGGAAAGTTCTCAGATTTTCTGAATATCCTCCTTATCAAACTACTCTATTTTGGTGCACTCACTTAATTAGTCTATTCTTATATAATATGTTGGTTCTCTTATACAGACTATTTTTTTGTATCCTTTCATATAGGTCAACCTTTTTAACATTTCAAGAATATAGTACAAAAACTGTTTATATAACTGAAAATTTAATTAAAAAATGTGTAAAGTAGGCAGCAGAGAAAATCAGTTTGTTATATTCTCCAATTTGATGTTTTATTAATTATCATTTTTGATTAATTGGGGTGGTCAATCAGATATCTTGAACATGTAAAATACTTTTGGCATATGTGTATCATAAAATTGTTTAAGGCAAGCTAGAAAATTTTCTTCATTATTAATATCAACAAGATAGTAAATTTAGATTTTTCATATATATATATCTATATAGTCTACATTTGTCTTCTGTCATTGAAATTTAAATATATCATTGAATATGAATTTAGTGACTCTTTCATGTTATTGAAATTAGGAAATGGAATTTTTAAATTTTCTATTAGAAAAGAAAAAAGTGACATACATATTTTAGAATACTGAATTTATTTTTCATTTAGATGTTATGTTATTTCTAAAGTTGTTATAACTCCATTTTCCTGTTTGACTTCAATGGACTACTCTGACTCACTTGGAGTCTTGCCTAGTTCATTTGGTTTACCTGGATGTGTTGTTTACTCCACAGCACCCCCACCCTGAAGTTTTTTGTATTTTTATTAGTACATGTTTTATTTTATTTCTTAGTATTCACCCCTGTTCTTTCTGTTGAGTTTGCCAATGTACTGAACTTTGTATTTCTTTTGTTTTGGGTCAACCTCTAGTTTTTCTGAATGTTTCCTTTTTCTAATAATCATACTTGTATGTTCAATGATTTCTTGGGATGCTGATGCATCAAAAGTATCATACAGTACTTGCCTAGGTTTTTCCTTTCTTGTGGGCCTTTCTTCATTAAACTTTTTCGTTAATTGATTCCAACCTTTTATGTTCTAATTTTTTTTTTTCTACCATATATATAATTTTTCCAATCCATGACCTTATTACGCCAACTTCCCACATTTCTTTTCCATTTTTATGTACTCTGAAAAACCATAAATTGATAATAGAAGTTGATGTTCTGTTTGCAAATGAAAACTCCCTTTGTGTATAAATTTGTGAAATCTTTTCACTGTAAATATTATTGCTAACACCTTTTTCAATCTTGACTGTATTTTTTCTGCTGGTAGTATTGAACGTGAAGCATGTGCGATGGCTTTCATGTCACCAACATCATATGTAGAATTACTGCTCCTATACTATAGTCACTAGCATCTGAAGGCAATACAATTTCTGCTTTTTAATCATAGTGCACTAATAATAAGTCTGACATTAGTATTTTCTTCAAACGCCCTCTGACACTTATCAGTCCAGTTCCACTATACACTTTTTAAGCAAATTGTTCAGTGGAAATCTCAAATTCTGTATATTAGGTATATAAATTTGATAATTTTTTGCTAGATGATTAAAAGAAATGCTTTTATTTTTTAATAATGTTTGTTGGATGAGGCATATTCTTAATTGCACTTGTCCTTGACAGATCTGGTTGATGACCATTTTTGTTGGTGATGTCTTTTAGGTATTTGATTTTAGATAAAAAAAAAATTTGCACTTTCCTCACTGAGTTTGAACCTGTATGTTTGTATTATTTCAAAACTCTTTTCACATGCCTGACATGTTGTTCCTTAAATTTTAATTTTTAATTAATATATTAAATGCAACTCAAAACAAAATGCAGAAATATTGTCCATAGCTTAATTGAAAAATAGTATTCAAGAACTTTTAGCCATTTTTATTCCAAAAGGAAGTTTTATTGAAATAAATACAATTTTTCAGTAATATTTATTTTATTATTATTTTTTTTAAAAGCCATTTTTTTATTGCTGATGCTGCCCATTTTGAATGGTCAATATTTTCAATTACACTTATATTTTCAAGTCTGTGAATTATTATTGACTTTATCTAGGTACCTCCACGAAATCGCTAAAAAAAGAGCATAGCTTGATGAAAAAGACGCCAACCTTGCCAAAAACAAAATTTTATTGTCTAAATGCTTATTTTATTATTAAGAGGAAAGACCAAAGTTTTTTTTAATTATTTTAAAAAAAAATTTCCTTTTTAGAACATTCTAAATTTTGATTAAAAAAACCTTGTTTCTATTTGTATCAGCGGAACTAGTAAATAACATAGACAATTTTTAGCACGTTTTTTTGGTATGACACACATTAATTTGAAAAATCGTGCAAAAATAGAAATAATTATCGGATGTTGAAACTTTCAGGAACTATTCACAGATGATCGAAATTATTATAAATGGTAGAAATATTTTTAAAAAATATTTACTACCCCCCATAACTAATTTTATGAAAACGCTAGAAATTCGATCGCATCGGTTTTAGTGATTACAATAATTAAAAGACCAGGGCTTTGAGGAATGCAAATCATGTTTTTTTTTGTTTTTAATTGGATACGCAGTACCTGAAAATCAGCTCTGAATTGTAACATACAAAACTCAATAAAACAAAGATATTATTTAATTTCAAATGCTTTTATTTGCTTTTAGTTGTTTTTATGAATATGGACAATATTTTCTGAAAGCAAAAAAAATTTTTTCGATGAAAAATGAATTTTTAATACAATTATTTGTTATTTCATTAATTATAATAGATTTTACATTTAAGTTGTTAAAATATTATAAAATTAGTTAAAAGCCGCATCAGGCTTTCATAAGTGTCCTTATGAGATAGATCTTTTTTTAGCGCGTTGTAAATTGTATCATTTTGACTAATCAGAAGATCCCCAGTAATTAAGAAATGTAATTTTGTGCTTATAATCGAGCTGTAATTATAAAATACGGAAGACCAACCAGAATATAATTAAGTTGCGTTATTTGAGTTAAGCATTGTTCTCCGCTGTTAAGGCCTTTACTTTTTTGAAAACACGTGTGGAGAAGTTAATTTGATTTTTCAATTTCAACTGAGAAGGTTACCTACAAGTATCAGTATCATCTTATGAAATTTATATGATCTTATTTTTATATTAATCTCAGTTACGACATTTTTCCATAAATGAAATATCAAAATTAATAATAAAATGAATGCAAATACAAATAACAGTAGAATGTAATAAATGTACATAAAATTATAGTATTTTATGTACAATTCTGATAAAATTTCATAAGAAAGGTACCTATAAATTAATTAGATACCTTTCTTAAGAAATATGAAATTTAATGTCACTCTTAACAGTTTTATTTTAATTTCTTTACAATATATTTCCCATAAAGCATCATAAACGTAAAGGTGAAAGCTAAGTACAAAAAAAAAAAAAAAATAGACCGCCGAAAAGTTTTGTTAAAAATAACGGGGTAAATAATTTGTTCACGTAAATGTAAATTATTTCACTTTTCTCCTTCCGTAGAACAAATTAGCCTCATGGAATTCGTAAATATATCATTCATCACATGTCAAGAGACGCGAAAGTTTATGACCTGCTTTGTTTTATTTTCAAATTACATCTTTTTGGCACAAAAGCTAAGTTAAGTTAAGTTTGGTTCAAAATATTTTAAATAAACATTATAATTTCTGATTTTCTTAAAATAAGTTTTGAAAAAATGATAATTGATATTTAAAAAAATTTCAAAGTCAGATTTCCAGTTTTTTTTTAAATGGAAAAAAAATGGTCAATTTTGCTGACTCAAAAAAACTAGATTTTTAAAAAAAAAATTTCGGACGTGCTAGGAACGATTAAAAAATGGAAAAAAATACCCCAAAAAATACTTTGACCTTTCCTCTTAATGAATAACAAACATTTAGACGATAAAATTTTGTTTTTTCGTCAAGTTTGGCGTCTTTTTTTTTCATCATGCTATGCTCTTTTTTTAGCGATCTCGTGGAGGTACCTAGGTTAAGTATAAATGTTGTTCCCACATACAGGGTTACTGTTTAAATCAAAAGAATTATTATTGATGATTGAAAGATACTAGTATTTTGATATTAATTCCTCAACATGCCACAAAAAAAACAATTAGGTTCAGTTCTGGAAAAAATTTTCACACTTTTTTTTTTAACTTTAAATTATTCAAACTTATCAGATTTGTTGCGTGCAATGCCAATCATGTTTTTAAAATAAAAAAAAATAAAGGAGTAAAACATTCTGGAACTGAATTAGAGTTTGAATATTTTTTAGGCCACCTTAACCTTTTTAAAAGGCTATTTAAATTAAGAAAAAATTTTTTTAGATTGTTTTTTTTTTTTTTTTTGTAATTTGCAATGGTCAATAGTGAAAAAAATTTTTACTAATTAGCCCAAAGCTGGGGTAAATTTATATTTAAAGAATTTTATTTAAAATAAAAAAACAAAAATAAAATGTAAAAAACTCGATTCAAAAAAAATTAAAAATTTTGAACCATTATCCATTTATATCTTCACATCCAAATATCCTAAAATAATTTCAAAAAGCAGTCTCATCTATTGCATATATCAGCTTATGTGATTATAGAGGAAGAATATTTCAACTTTTTTATGATAAAGCCAAAATTTTTTTATCAAGAAATAGGTTAAAATTATCTGATAACTTTTAAAATCAACATTTTTAGAATGAGTTTTATATAAAAATATACATAGAATATCCTTATTCCATCATATATTTCATTAAGTATTCAAATAAAAAGGAATTTTGTCTTTTAAGTCCAATCTAAATTAAAGGATAGCCCTTTAGTTTTCCTGAATATTCAATAAATGGGATTTGAGAATAAAATATTTGTTTCCTTCTTTTTTTTTCACTAAAAAAAAAAAATCATCCAAGCCTGTCTATTTGAAACTCAAAAGTTATTTTTTGGATTTAATGACACTTCATGATGTGATTGATGCTATCTAAATAATTTTGATTCATGCTCTAAAAATAATTTTTTTTCAGAAAACTCAAAAATATCTTACAATTATAAAAAAAGATTTATTATAGTTTTACTCCTGCTATCAAATTTTGATTTACTATTATTGTGAAATTTAAAAATTCCATCTTGAGTTTTTAAGATTTTTTTTAGATCATACATAAAATTGGCATATAAGTTGAAATTC